CTGTCACTTTAATTCTTATAACAATATAATGTGATATGTTATTTTCTTTGACTTAACCAAGATGAACAAACCGTCAGTGTGACATGATGCATGCAACTGCTACGTTATTCTAGTCACTATACAGCTTCTATGTAAAAATGCTGATCTTATATTCATTTGCAAACAGTTTGCACAAGGAGAACAATGGACTTCCCTGTGTGATGCCCTTGCCTCAAAGTTGATGGCTGCTGGTAACACTTTGGCTGCAGTTTTGTGCTACATTTGTGCTGGCAATGTTGACAGAACAGTAGAAATTTGGTCAAGGAGCCTTGCAAATGAGCGGGATGGAAGATCATATGCTGAGCTTCTTCAAGTGTGTATCACTTTCTATGTTTTGCGCATATACTGTGTTGGGCTTCTCTGTTCATATTTTTCTGCCCTATCTTATTATAGGATCTTATGGAGAAGACTCTTGTCCTTGCTTTGGCAACTGGCAACAAAAGGTTCAGCGCATCTCTATGTAAACTCTTTGAGAGTTATGCTGAGATACTGGCCAGCCAAGGACTGCTTACAACGGCAATGAAGTACCTGAAAGTTCTGGATTCTGGTGGATTGTCACCTGAACTTTCTATATTACGTGATCGTATTTCTCTGTCTGCAGAACCTGGTTCGTTTGCATGTTTTGATTAATGTTTAAGAGATTTTTGATGACAATTTTAGCTTATCATTTTATATTGCATCTGCAGAGACTAACACTGCGGCTTCAGTTAACACTCAACCTCAAAGTACCGTGCCATATAATCAGGTTCCTTTTTATATATTAAGTTCAGCAAGTGGTTTTAAATTGGAACTTAGAACTCGCTGAAATCGATTTAGCCTTTATGGATAACATACTTAGCCTTTACTCTACTGTGGCTTAGGAGGCGACTCATGCGCAACCAAACGTTCTTGCTAACCCCTATGATAATCAGTATCAGCAACCATACACGGATTCTTATGTAGGATATGTCCCTCAAGCTTCGCATCCACCCATGCAGCAACCAACTATGTTTATGCCTCACCAAGCTCAGCCAGCCCCGCAGGTTTCTAAAGTTCTGGCTTTGTTGCATTTCCTTTTTCCTCATTTTTCCTTACATCCTCATGCATTAATGATATTCTTATCTAGCATTTCTCAGATGTCTAGATCAGAAATTTTCCGTTTAGGTTATTTTATTGTACAAGGGTATTGGTCAAGCATTTGAGATACGAAGGCATCTGTAATGTATGTATGTGGTCAAGCATGTATGTGATGCTCAAATGCATAGTCTTTCTTTGTGTGAATTGTTGATAATATCAGATGGATTATGGGTATCTGGTTCTTTGACCTTAAAAACTAAAATAATCCTCAAAACCGAACATGTCAGTCTCTAAACCCATTCTTGAGAAAAGGATAATGTAGATCTTTGCTATAGTTCACTTGTGTAGAATCTATATCCTAGAGGTCGTGGAAAGTTTGTGGTGGGAAATCTATTATATCATTGCTTTGGCCAACTTGTTGACTATGGTGTCTATATGCAGCCATCTTTTACCCCTGCAAGCAATACTCAGCCATCTAGGAGAACTACTTTTGTTCCTTCAACCCCCCCTGCGCTGAAGAATGCAGACCAATATCAGCAGCCAACCATGAGTTCTCATTCATTTACGGTAATGTGAACTTTTGACTCCATTATGTTAAATGTTTTTTGCATTCTTAGTTTAACTAAGCTAACATCTATTTAATCAGGGACCGTCTAACAATGCATACCCTGCTCCCCCGGGTCCTGGTCCATATGCACCTTCTGGGCCTTCACAAGTTGGCCAATATCATAACCCTATAATGCCCCAAGTTAATGCCCCAGCAACTGGACCCATAGGATTTACTCCCATGGCAACTCCAGGAGTTGCACCAAGATCTGGGCAACCAACAAGTCCTCCAACACAGCAGGCTGCCCCCACACCTGCAGTTCCGCCACCAACTGTTCAAACTGCAGATACTTCCAACGTTCCAGGTATGTGACATCAGGACCATGTTTGTTTTGCTTCTGAGAAAAGTCATATATTGACCACCTGTTGCAAACTGATCCAGCCCACCAGAAACCTGTGATAGCAACGTTGACAAGACTTTTCAACGAGACATCGGAAGCACTCGGAGGCGCACGTGCAAATCCTGCCAAGAAGCGTGAGATAGAAGATAACTCAAGAAAATTAGGTGCTCTGTTTGCGAAACTCAACAGCGGAGACATCTCCAAGAATGCTGCGGACAAACTCGCACAGCTGTGTCAAGCTCTGGACAACCGTGACTTCAGTGCAGCACTTCAACTACAGGTTAGCTAGTGAATTGATCTCTTCTGGTTCCTTGCTATTTGGAGTTCAATAATCTGTTTTTTTTCTTTCCCTCGACTCAAAAACAGGTACTTCTGACGACCAGCGAATGGGACGAATGCAACTTCTGGCTGGCAACACTAAAGCGGATGATCAAGGCCAGGCAAAATGTGCGGTGATTATTTATTTTCGGGGTTGAAAGGAAAATTTTATAAATCTAAAGGAGGGACGTGTGTATCAGACTCCTCTTTGCTTTCTTAATTTTGTTCTTTTAAAACGGCGTCACTGCTACAGTATCTTTCATTGATCGACTCATCCACTGCTTTAGTTACTCTTTCAGTCTTTTGTTTAGATAAAGATATAGAACATCAGATTGTTTAACACTCTTATGTTTTTGGATGTTACTTTACCCGACAAGTTTGTTCTTCTCTGTTTCTGTGAGTTTTGTTAGATTTTACACAACATTTTTTTTGTCGTTATATTAATTTTATATAATTCATCCACGCGTTCAGCGACGCATTAAGAAGAATAATACATCGTCGACCTAAATATACCGCGATAATACTGTACCAAAGGAAAGAGGCGATTAATGCGAGAGTCTCCCTAAGCCGTAGAGCAACTTTTTATGTGGCTCCTGCTGTAGACTGGATGCGGCTTGGACCAGCAGGGCTTTCTCAGGCTGAAGGTGAATGGTAATCGAGTAATTTGGTGAAGAGGAGCTTAAAGAATCCTTTTACCCGTAGAACAAAACAGAGGACTTTACATCAAACTCTACTTGGGAATGGGATCATGAAGCTGCTGAACCTTGCTGGGGAATAAAAAAGTTCCATCTTTAAACTTGGTCTATAGAATGCCAATATATAGATGATCTTTCCAAGATTCATCTGTTAAATCATCACGTTGTATCAAGATAATAATGGGTAGCAAATCATGAAAGTCACTAATCCGGCACGATCAAAACGGGGCCTGATTAAGACATGACATACAAAGAAGAAAAAAACAAGAACCTAATTGTGTTTTAATAAGCGCCACAATTGAGGTTGACGAGTTCTCTTCCTTTATACTATTATCGGCCAGCCAGAGCATGAGCGTGCGCCCACACGGGCAATATGGGTAAGCCCAGCACATTTAACCCCACTCCAGTTAAAACCCATCCCATTTAATCCATTTAAATTTAAACTCATTTAATTCCAAATCCATTTAAATTTTCTTTACCCTTCTAGACCCATATAATATGTTGTAAATTTATAATATAACAATTATTATTGACTATTTCCAAAAATTAATTTGATACATAATTATAATGGATATTGGTAAAACACATGTTTTTATGGTTTTTAGTGAGAAAATACGTTTTCATAGTTTTGGCGGGAAACACGATTTTACGATTTTGTCGGGGAAACACGGTTTTTATAGTTTTGAGGGAAAAAACAATTTTTACAGTTTTGGCGGGAACCCCGATTTTACGGTTTTGGCAGAAAACACAAATAAACGGTTTTGGCAAGAAAACACAGTTTTTACGGTTTTGGCAGAAAAACACAATTTTGCGGTTTTTGAAGAAAAATATGGTTTTAATAGCTTTGGCGAGGGAACAAATTTACGATGTTTGTCTAGAAACACGATTTGAATTTTGTTTTTACAATTGACTTTAGATTTTTTTATTGATATTATTATATTTTTGCTGTTAATATATTAAATATTTATAATAAGTATAATTAAATAATATATAAATGAGTTATATGGATACTTATTTATTTAAATTAAATCCCATTTAATATATGAGTATAAATAGGGAAATTCATATAAACTCATTTTATAATAAGAGTAGTCCATACCATTGCCATGTCATTGCAGGAAGAGAAGATTAACCAAAAAAAAGTGATGAGATTAGACGGCGATGTAAGATAGAAGAGAGAAGAAGATGGGGAAGGTTGTTGTACCATTTAGAAATCCAAGAGTTAAGTAAATGAGTCCGTGAATGTTGTGGAATGCCCACAGGTGACACTTAATATTTATATCACAGACTAATAATAGGACAAGAAGAGTGTGTAATCACTAATCAATCAACCACCTTTATATATAAAAAGAAAGGTAGGTTTGTCTTTTTTTTTTTTTTTTTTTTTTGACATTCAATCAAATATATCATACAGACTATATATGTGCCAAGTTAAGTTGTAATCACGTCTTTGAGGGGAACATATCATCAATACCTCAAAGTGTGTTGTTAGTTGTTTGCTTGTGTCATTTATCCAGTGTTATAAAAACAAGAGTGGGTTACTTAATTTTTTCTGTCTATCTCAAGGTAGAGAAATTTTTACGTCTCAACATGGACGCTAATAATGTAATGTTAAGCCCATCATTTGCTTGTCATACAACAAAATCAATATGTAAACATTGTAATTTAGTAAGTCCGTAAAAGAGTAAACAAAAAGAGAAAGTGCGTGTAGTGTAGTGGGGGGGGGAGAAAAGTAAATTTCGTAGGTTCGTGTCTGTCGTTTTGTAATGGATGGACCACAACATATATTAGTAATGAATGATACTGTAATTCCATTTGAATCAAATATCAAAAAGGGATATATTGGGCCTGAAAGTTAGAGGATAGCTAAGCCCATATAAATAGAGCCCAACCAAAGGGAAGGGATACACCGATAGAGTTCGAGTGTCAGTGTCATCGATGAATATGTCAGTGTAGCAAGCAATTGGCCTCCCAATATATATACGTATCATCGGAATAAGTATGTACAGTCTTCATCGTTTATACGTACATATGTATTTACTAGAAAGCGCTAATGGGGAAGCAGTTCCATCAATGTTCCTGGCCTGGGTCATGGTGATGATGATGACGATGACGATGATGAGTAAGAGGAGACTGTTGCCTTTTGAAAGATTCTCTGGCCAGGCGCAAGTATTGCCAAGGGATCATATCTAGATTTTCTCCTGACAAACTCTTCCCACTTGGATCCGAAATGGGATCTCCACTCCTCTCTCGTTGTGTAATGAGGCAGGTACTGCTTCAACCCTATCCCTGCTGCTTCACTGAATTCAAGTATTCTTTGGTTCCGCTTCAAGATGTGTTCGACTCCATCCTTGTTGCCTGGAACCGCCGATGTTAGGATCGCCACTAAGTAGAATACCTCTTCCTCCGGTGTTACTGCTGATGTTCGATTGTCCCACCTGCCACACACATAAACATTGCTTTCTTTTGTTTTAACCAACTTTACAGAGTTACTAATCATCATCTTCTTTATTTATTTAGAATTTATCTTTCTTATTAGCTCTTCCTTACTTACTTTGCTTTGTTCACCGGGTAGACTATGACTGGCCCGTTGCTCGTATCGGTTAGGATGTTTCCGAACACTCCTTTTGCAAATTCATTCACTGTGCTTCTTGGTACCAGGAGGTTCAGCCATGGATGTGGAACCTCCCATTGACCTTTCGATCGAAGTTTGACCTCTGACACATGTACCCTGTCCAAGAATGCTTCATATGTTACCTCCGATGTAAACAACGTCGACGATATGTAGCTTAGTTCACTTAATGTTTCGTTGACTCCCTAGATTCCATGTTCAAAAGACATTTCTCTCTTTTCAGTTCCACTGTCATCTATCCAAAGATTTCTACTATATAAGTTTATGCTTTCTCACCTGGATGATTTCATCTTTGTTATCTAGCTTGAAGTACTTGGCTACTTCCAAACAATACAGAGTCCTTCCATCAGATTTGAATTGGCTGGCTTTGAAAGGGTCCTCTGGGGTGAAAGACAGCCTCCAGTTGTTCAGGAGGCCTGTCCGGTTTATTATCACAAACCCTTCAATGTAATCCAACTTGTTATCAGCAGCAATCAGACGCTCTTGGTCCTTGGTAAAAGCTGAGAAGTCTTGGTACAACACTCTTATCCATTTTACCTGTCCAGAGAGATCATGTGTATCAGTTATATAACATACCTTTTCGATTTTTCTAAATGACCAAATTTTATTTTGCTTTTGTTTTGTTTACCATGGTTGGTGCTGCTTCCAATGCTATTCTTGCCCGTGTTATGATGCCAAACTGACCTAACCCGCCAAGAACAGCATGGAATAAGTCGCTGTTCTGCCTCTCTGAACAGTTTAGGATCTCGCCTTTTCCTGCAGACAACAGGCCGCATGAGATTAATGAGTGTGTAATCATTTACGTTTTTCTTCTCGCTAGTCTGAGCTAACCTGTGACGATCTCTAGTTGATGAACATTGCTGATTTGTGGTCCATGTCGGAATGCCTGGCCGCTGATTCCAGCATTGGAAAGAGTGCCACCTACAGTTAAATGTAGGTAATCTGTCCATGATTTTGGTGCAAGCCCGTACTTGAGGGTCTCATGCAATATGTCAATCCACAGCTCACCACCACACACATCAACATATGGAGCGGGAACATCCACACTGTGGACCTGCAGCTTCTTGGGATGGGGGGATTCCATGCGTATAACAATCCCATGTCTTGTTTGTGCTTGGCCTTGGAGTGAATGTCCACGACCTCTTGCTGCCACTGTAAGCTGTGAATGAGGTCCCATCATCCAGATGTGTCGAATTGTTGTGGCTATGTCGCTTACCGATTTGGGATGTAAGACCGCCAAAGGAATCAGCTGGTATCGATTTCCAAAATCTTTGGAGGCGTAATGGACATCTTCAAACTCCAAGTTGCCTGCTAGGGGGAGGGCCTGCAAAGAAGAAATGCTGCTAGAGAAGCAGCAAGCTAACTTAATGGCTATGCAGCTGAGGAGCAAGATGGTGATGCTTCTTACTATAAGCATGGTTCTTTTCCTAAGGAGGCATGCATGTAGATAGCTCATATGGCCCCTTGATTTCTGAGAGATGAGAGAGTATTGGAAAGGGTTTGATCTTATGAAAAAGCTAGTGTGACTTTGAATGGCCGAGGGAACCAATTGATATGGTTGTGAGAATCCGAATGGGGACTGACTGTCTAGGAAGGGTTATAAATAGCTTTAGAATAATCACTTTATAGTTAGTAGAGAGAAGCCATAAAGTAGGAACCTAGTTGAAGGAAAAAGTCACAAGAAAGAAAGATCTCACGAATCTTTTTATCTTTTCATAACAGTTACACCCACGATCTTGGCTTTTTCAAGAAAAGGCAGACAAGATCATACTATAACACTTTTACTTTGAAACTTACCATTTGAAGGATTCCCTTATTTATCCTCTTATCTCATATATATATTGCTATGCCTTTCCAGTCGTAGGTGTGGAATTGCTTTTTAGGCTGAGATATATTATCTGTGATTGTATTCCACACTTTGTTCAGGCTTTTGACTCGGATGAAACGCAAAAGGATTGGTTCCTGATTCATCTGTGGGAAAAAGAGTGGTAATCACTGAACCGAGGTCAGTAGACGTGGAAGGGAAAAAATCTTTGTGCTCTCTGTGGGAAATTAGGGGGCAATGTCAGAAATATTGGGACCCGACCCAACAACACAATCCTTGTAGCGCAAAAACTAAATGACAGCTCAAAGCAAAGCAACCAATGAGTAAGTCTTCCTGTTACTGAGTTTTAAGGCCTCCCATTGCAGCTACCTGACAAAACTAAATGAATCATCTCTTCTTTTTCTTAAATTCTTTTCTATCAGACATTATATGATAAGATTAGCTTTAAATTATGTTTTAGTTTACTTTTGCTAAACATCACTGCTTCATTAGACAGGTGATCCTTTTTCTTTTCTTTGAGGGGTAAATTTTTTCCTCTTTTGTTTTGGTTTTAATGACTACTATCTCTTTGGCAGAAGTTACTCTCAGTTTCCCCAAGATTATGATAATCATTGGAAGGAATTAAAGGAGCTACGGTGTCAGCAATAGTAACAAGAAAGGTATAGTGCTATGGAGGATTAAAGGTGAAAAGAGAGAGAGAGAGAGAGAGAGAGAGAGAGAGAGAGAGAGAGAGAGAGACTGGTGACAAAAGATGGCCCAGTGAAGATTGTGCACCCGTTAGAAATGTCTGTGTAGGAGTAGGGTCAGAGAGAGAGAGAGAGATATGATGAGTTCCGGAGTTTGACCAGTCCAGTATTGAACAGTGGAGGAAAGAAGTTGGGTTCTTCTCAACTCATTGGTGCGGTGGTGGGCGTTGCAGAATGAAGTGTGAACTGAAAACAGAGTTGGTGGAAATGGTTGGTCTCTAGAAGGAGAGGAGAAGCGACCAGAGAGCACTAGCGGGAGAGTCGTGGGGCATAGCTTGTCTGAAGCAAACTTGGTCCCAGTATAAGATATGCTTTCGAACATTTGTCAGCCAAAGGGTTGAAGGGACGGCTGTGGTGGTGTTGGAAGTGGACTGGTCCACGACTCTGACCTCTCTGCTGACTTGTCAATGAAGTCTAATTGGTGCGTCCTTCCAAACTTCACGTGGCTTTGTTACCATTAACGTTTAAAGTGTGTTTGTGTGTTGTGTCTACCTCTCGTTTAGAAGAAGATATTATTTATATGAATCTGTTTTCCAAAGAAAAGAGGCTACTTGGAAACCGTCTACTGACTCAGTGCCTTTTGCATATATATGTTTGAAAACACACAAGTCACGGGTTTCCGGTGATCTTTATCTATCTTTTTTTATTCTACTCACAACTGGCGAAAAGCCTTGTTGGGTCTGAATGGGCCAATACTGAAATTTTTGAATAGAATATATCCATGTAAAGTCTAGTCCAAACGTAAAATCTAGCCCAAACATATGAGTAGCAGCAATATTGAATCAGAATTAAAAAAAGAAAAAAAAAAAGAACAGTCGATCGTGGCATTTTGTCTTGCAGACGACGACAGACGCCAAGTCGCAAGCATATGCACGGATAAATCACCAGGAAAGAACGTAACATAGAAAAAAAGAAGCATCTCTTTCAGTTGGGGTCAGAGATTGTAAGTCTAGTTTTGTTATCAGAAGAGTAGCCTCCTACGCAGCGAGTCGGACCTTTTAAGACTAGCCAAATGGCGTATGGTTTCACCGATGAGATCTTTGAATACGAGGCGTTCTATGTCGAGAACCGCTTCTGACATTTCCACCTGACAATCTCGCCACCGGTCCTCTGATAGATCTCTTGCAAGGACCCCGCAGACGTATCCCACGAGGTCCTCTGACGTTTCCTCGGTCTTCTTTCTCATCTTCTGATATTCGGACCAGAACACTTGCATCTTGTCAGGCTCTCCCACCATCCTCCATGGCGGCAACCTCCTTCTCCGCCCAACAATCTCTTGCACTGCGTCGAAGATGAGCCGTCTTTGCTGAGCGGAGGCGCATTTCCCTTGGAGGTATTGCTGCTTTTCCAGCACGGAGAAGATGTCGGACTCCTGTGGAAGGCAATGTGAGGCTCGGAGGATGTCGGAGATGTATAAATATTCAGAGTCCGACGATGGTGAGATAGAGCCACCCCAAGATTCGTCTTCCGATTCTGTCGTCAGTTAGAAGAGTTAGTTTTAGATTCAAAAGAGTCAAGTTAGGGAAACAAAATGGATTGAAGAGAACCGGCAGAGAAGTCAAGGCTGCGTTTCATGACGGGGGATGGGGAAGAGTCCTCCTCCTCGTGATAAAGCGAGGCGTCAAGAACCGAGACGGGGCTCGGTTGTGAGTCTCCGGCCTCAGCAGCCGCCATCTCGGCTATGCTGTGGAGCAGCTTGTCGCATCTCTCCAATAAGGTTTTGCCTTGTCGGTTGTTGTAACCATCAACCTCGCACATCTGCAAGGATGGATGGATCAATAAGAAGAAGATGCTGAACTGGAGAGGGTGCTAGTGTGTGTTTGTTACCTCTTGAGAGCATATAATCGTGGACCGTTGGTCGTCTCTAAATCCCGTTTGGAGAGGTTGAGGTCTCTGCCAAGGCAGTGGAGAGACTCTCCTCTGCTCCTCGAGCGTTGCCGTTTGGAGAGGTTGAGGTCTCTGCCAAGGCAGTGGAGAGACTCTCCTCTGCTCCTTGGGCGTTGCCGTTTGGAGAGGTTGAGGTCTCTGCCAAGGGAGTGGAGAGACTCTCCTCTGCTCCTTGGGCGTTGCCGTTGGTCTCGTCCTATTAGATTTAGGAGGACTCGGACCTTTGCTCGGGGGTCTAGATCTGATGCCAGAGGCTGGCTTGATGTGGATTGGGGTCTTGTTGTGTTGGTGTTTGTTTGAAGAGTGTAAGAGCCCTTTCAGCCTAAGAGCTTCGACAAGTTGCTTGAATGTTTCGAGATCGGTCGGGGATCCGGTGGTTTTGGGGACTCTGTCAACAGGGAAGAAATCACCGGAGTCGAAGAAACACTTCCGGCGTACAGGTAAGGGAGGAGGTCGGGCGGCGGGATCTTGGGGTCCCTTTTCATCTAGAAAGGTGAAGGTGTCGACAAACCTGTAGTCTCTGGTGAGCCTGGACTCGGATGCGGATCTCTGGAGAGGTTGCTGCTGTTGGGGCAATGGGTCCAATCCCATGAGGCGAGCGATGACGCTGGGTGAGGCGCGGTCATGCTGGGGAGGATCAGAGTCCAGTCGGATCTGTCTGGGTTTGAGGGTACCCTTGGCATCGAGGGCGGCTCTGCTATCGAGGGAGAGGCGAGGAGCTTCTTTAGAGAACCTCCAGGGTGAGGAAGAAGAAGAAGAAGAAGAAGAAGAAGGTTGTAAAAGAGGAAGCGGGGATCTCGTGAGAGAATGAGGGGAGGGATCAGGGGTAGTAGCATAGACACTCTTGAGAGGGGAATCAGATTCAGGGCTCTGGGAGAAACACACAGAGAGAGAAAGAGAGAGAGAGAGATAAGAAAAAGATGGAGTTAAAAGGAAGAGAAGAGTGAAGTTATTACCAGAGAGAGACGCCTCGGAGAGATGAGATTCGGTCGATCAAAGATGTTGAAGAAGCCGGCCATGCAACCACCGATTTGCTTCTCCAGATCTTGTTGCTCTTCTTGCAAACCGTTGTCCATCATCATCATCTTCACATTCTTCTTCCGGCGATTCTTCTTTGTTGTGAATTGTTGTTGTTACACTCACTCTCTCACTCTCTCCCGCTTTTCGGCTCCTCTTTAAAGCATCATTTATTAGTTTTCGTTTTTATTTTAAATCTTTTCTGTGTATCGGAGGATGAGAGAGAGACCCCACACTGTTGACCGACATCGCCGTGGCACTTTCAAAGATGACACGTCCAACGCATTACTATGACCGTTACTCTCTTTTTATTCTTCCCAAGGCATTTTATTATGGATTAATTGGATTTTTAGTACATTTTTGAAACATAATTGTATAAGTAGTACATTCACTATTCATTATTAGCAAACTAATACATTTTTACTATTTGAACATTATTTAGACACTATTAAAAATCTTCTTAAATCTAATAACTAAAATATTCATCAAAATATATTTGGTTTCTATAAAATTCCAATTACATAAAAATCTATATTTTTTTTTCTATAATTTGATATGCATTTTTTTTAATAATTTCAAATATTTTTCACACAAATTTTGATACGTCCAGCTATCCATATGTACAGTTGTGTGTCGATTAACAGAAAATCATCCGTACAGCGGTCTGTATATACGTATAATTGTATGTGTACATATATTTTCTAGTCTATATATGTATATTTGTTTATGTGTAAATATGTTTATTTGTAGTTGTTTCCCTTTGTACAAATATTTGATGTACAATAATATGTTACTGTACAATTGTCTGTCTGTATAGATATCTGAAATAGTAAAAATGTACTATTTTGCTAATTATGAATAGTAAATGTACTACCTTTATAATTATGTTTCAAAAACGTACTAATTTGCCAACACACCCTTTTATTATTTATTGATTTTATATTTCAAGGCAGGCCAATTGAAATTTGAGAGAGAGAGAGAGAGAGCTCCTGAGTTCCTCCCCCACCGTTACTATTTTGCGTTTAGGATGAGAACTGAAGACCACGTTTTGCGTCTTGCATCCATCTCTTGTTTATTTTTATCTAATCCGACGTTAACGTGAAGATACATAGTAGGGATCGACATTGTTTTATTATGAGTTTCATCAAACAATTTACTCGAGATTTACAACTAGAGAGAGAGAGAGAGAGAGAGAGAGAGAGAGAGAGAGAGAGAGAGAGAGAGAGAGAGAGAGAGAGAGAGAGAGAGAGAGAGAGAGAGAGAGAGAGAGAGAGAGAGAGAGAGAGAGAGAGAGACAACGGCTAGCTTACTTATCCTAGTCAGTCATTGTTAATAATAACATGACCCAACCAATTAGAAAATATTATTGTATTGCGAGAAAAAGAGGAGCGGGAAGAAAAGAAGAAGGTTTGGCTTCATGTGACTGTGAAAGCATGTGACCGAGTGAGTCTCTCTCTATAATGCCATGTTTCATCACGAGGTTAGTGTTTGAAGCTCTACCATGATCAAGTATTTCTCTACTGTGCATTGCTGACGACCAGATTTGCTGCAGATGTGTAACGTGCTTCCTTCCTCCAGCTCCTCAATCAATCTTTCTTGATTTCTTTAGATACTATAATTAAATATTCAGATTACAAACATTGATCCTTTTTTTCCTGGGCTGGCTTACTTGTACTTACCGTGTGTGAGAGTTATGAACTCAAATGATGTCATCAACTTTTATTTTGACCAATACCAAGAGTAGCTAGAGGACAGATATTCAAAGGTTGTCAGAAATCCCACATTAGCAGTATTTGTTTATTCATCACTAAACTATATGTTGTTGAGGAATATTTTGGAATGCCAAAGAAAAAACTCTCTTTAGGCTAAGCTCTATTTACATCGATTAAAACAACCGTAAAACCCCACTATTGATTCTCAATAATAATATTAATAATAACAAGAGGCCTCACAATTGTTTTTCGCGACACTCAAGCCTGGGCCCAAGAGAGAAAAATACCAACACCTCAAGGGGGTTCTACTTTTTACACCTACAATTAAAATTATCTGTACACAAGTGGAGAACAGTAAAAGAGAAGTAGAGAAGAGAAAGGGCATGTCATGTGCTCTGGGTTCCATGATCACTTATCTATAATAATCATCTTAGAATAGGTGCGACAGCATTTCTGAACCTCGAAACTAGTGTGTGTCTGAATCTGAATCATGGAGGGTGGGTGTGAACTGTGGACAAAAGTTACAAAATAAAATGGGAGACACACCAAAGGGTCTTCAAGATCTACCCACTTTCTCATTAGTACAAATTATTACCCCCACCCAAAATATCACTATGCACATTCCATCTTCTTACAACAAGAATTAGGAAGCTGAGAAACTCCATTGCTCGCATGTCAAATTTAGATCTCATACACATACATATACATATACTACTGTTACGTACGTGCAACTAAGACATTCTATGCCAACCGGATGCTCTCATTAATCTGTACGCTTTTTTTTTTTTCTTTTTATCTGGGGGCAAAGTGCTGAAACTAGTACGGCCACAACATTTTGGATCCCATTTTAAAAGATATCTTAGCAAGAAACCATCATTACTCTCTTGAGTCAAAGTATTAAGCATCTGCAGCCTTCTCCTCCATTAGGTCCTTCAAACCACCGGTCCCATCCTAAGTTCAAAGGTCCATTGGTTCTGCCAGGGCCGAGAGCATACATGAGTTGATTCCGTCAAAAAAAGAAGACTAGGGTTTCAAGGTTTCAAAAACACTCACAGTGGCAAGAGAGGGTCGGGTCCTTTCTCGATGACACAGAGCAGCCTGTGAATCAAGGCAATATCAATTAGATCACCAATCAAGTCGCACAAGTTTCAGTCAAAAATCCAGATAAGAAATGAAAGAGAACATAGGCTTACTTACTCCTCGCACACGGCTGATACAATTTCTGTCTGCTCCACCTCTACCAACTCTTTCTGGATATATATATAGTACAAGAAAACAAAAAGAAAAGAAAGTAAGGCTAGTTTAATAACGGGTAGAAGCAAGCAACACATGGTGTCTAAACTTCAACAGGCCTGGATCATGTATACGAATAGAGAAGCATTAAAAAAAAGTGGATCCAGCAAGTTGATTTTGAGCATAGAGTAAAAGAAATCAGAATTGTACAAAGGTATCTCCGGTGCAAAAATCAAGCTGAGATTGGAACAGATCTGCGCATCTATTAATGGACTCTCATACTCCAACAAAAAAAAAAAACTAACACTGGACGGTTATTGCATTCAGAGGAAAAGGAGACCCACTCAAACAAATATCTTGTACCTAGTTTCCAAGTTTAATCCTCAATTGCTCTCTCAAGCCAAGCAAACAGCTCCAAGGAGTTAAAAAATTACCTCCAAGAAGACGAGTTCCTGTTCAACGCGAGCAAGGTCAGCAAGGATCCTGTGCTTGCCGCCGAGAGAGACAGCCTCCTGCTCGTAAGCCGCCGCCGCCGTTTCCTCCTCCATCTAAGCAGTGGAATCCCGATATTCACCGATTCGCATGGCAGATCTGACACCGTCAGAGAGAGAGAAGAAAGTTCTGTCCCGGTCCGTACAAGTTTAAATTGTCGTCGAAAGACTCTCTCTCTCTCTCTCTCTCTCTATTGACGACGACTCTGAGTCTCTGACTCTGCTGATTTCTCCACTTTTCCCTTGCATTTTGCATCAAATGAGGGAGGAATCCTCCTCTTTTCTCCAAAAGGCACGTCGCTTTTCTACATATTATAGGCCCAACCATTTTCATTCATCTGGGCCCATGGGCCTGTGTTAATGCAAGAAACAACGTTACGAAGGAACTATTTTGGAAAACAAAAATTTTGTGTATGTGGTCGGAGTTGGAAGTAAATCACTGACCGACTCGGTTAAGAGTAAAGGAGGGGTCTTTGTTTTATTGGCGGAGGAGAGAATTGGTGATACTAGTAGTAGTAGGATAAGCTTCCTCTTCTTCCTCTACTCTCTCACTCAGACGCAGCCGAATCTGTCCTCCATGGCTTCTTCGATGCTCAACGGGGCCATTACCTTCCCCAAGGGTTTAGGTTTCCCCGCTTCCAGATCCATTCCTCGCCCGACCTTACTCTCCGTCCCCCGTACCACCACCACACCTAGACTCTCCGTGACAACTCGATGCACCACCGTCTCCTCCTCCTCCTCCTCCTCCTCCTCCTCACGGCCATCGGCGCAACCTAGGTTCATCCAGCACAAAAAAGAGGCTTACTGGTTCTATAGGTTCTTATCCATCGTCTACGACCATATCATCAATCCCGGCCATTGGACCGAGGATATGAGGGACGACGCTCTCGAGCCCGCCGATCTCAGCCATCCCGACATGCGCGTGGTCGATGTCGGCGGCGGCACTGGTTTCACTACTTTGGGCATCGTGAAGACCGTCAAAGCTAAGAATGTCACCATTCTGGACCAGTCCCCACATCAGCTGGCCAAGGCAAAGCAGAAGGAGCCTTTGAAGGAATGCAAGATCGTCGAGGGAGATGCTGAGGATCTCCCTTTCCCCACTGATTATGCCGATAGATACGTTTCTGCTGGAAGGTGCCCGCAACTGATTTTATTTAGCTTCTTTCTTTTTCCTTGTTGACTTGTTATTATCAATCAATCCTTTTTGACTTGTTATTACCAATAAATCAATCACAGCATTGAGTACTGGCCTGACCCTCAGAGAGGCATAAGGGAAGCCTACCGGGTTCTCAAGATCGGTGGTAAAGCGTGTCTCATTGGCCCTGTCTACCCTACCTTCTGGCTCTCTCGCTTCTTTTCTGATGTCTGGATGCTCTTCCCCAAGGAGGAAGAGTACATCGAGTGGTTTACCAAAGCAGGTTTCAAAGACGTTCAGCTCAAGAGGATTGGCCCCAAGTGGTACCGTGGTGTTCGCAGGCACGGCCTTATCATGGGATGTTCTGTCACCGGTATCAAACCTGCCTCTGGTGACTCCCCCCTCCAGGTTTTCCCTTTACCCCTCTTTTTATCTTCCCTTCACCCTCTCTTTCTTTCTGCTGATATTCCCCATTCATGTGCAGCTTGGTCCAAAGGAAGAAGACGTTGAAAAGCCTGTCAACAACCCCTTCTCATTCTTGGGACGCTTCCTCTTGGGAACCCTCGCCGCTGCCTGGTTTGTGTTAGTCCCCATCTACATGTGGATCAAGGATCAGATCGTTCCCAAAGACCAACCCATCTGATCCATCTCTTGTAGTATATGAAGAGTGTTATCATTGTAAACCCTCTTGCGGTAAAGATAGATTTGAGTCCTATCTCTGAACAAAGCGGAATATCATGAAACCTTCTTTCTTTACATATCTTTTACTTGACATATCTATGCTACTTGTTTGCCACTGTTTTGGCATTCAGCGATTCTCTAACTTAACTCTGCCAACATATATCAGTCTGAATTTGATAAAATGTTAAATCAACAAAAGTTTAGCATCGCATCCGATCAACACAATTCCCAAATTATTATTACAACTGCTGGTACTAAAATACGGAAATTACTACAAAAAACTCCCGCATCCCCAAAATCCAATACAAGAGTGTTCATCAATCGGCATAGCTCACCAGACCTCTCTGTCCAGATGGAGAGGTTGAGCGAGAAGGGCTGCGTGATTCTACAGGAGAGGTGGGTCCTCTGCCGATGGAGGATCTCTGTGGACCAAGACGGGATTTAAGGTCTTCGCTAATTGGCTGCCTCTTTCTAGGGCTGCGGCTAGGGCTGCGACGCCTTGGACTCTGGCTCCTGCTTTCTTCTCTCAATCGTCTGTGGTACCCATCTGGACTCCGAGAAATGCTCATTCTCCTCCGGTTATACCTATGCAAGACAACACTCCCTTTCAGAGAACATCCAACACTGCTTTAAAGTTGTTCGAATCAGAATAATTTGCTTAAATAGAATAATATCACCAAAAAAGGTCACTCTAGATATTAAAAAAAATATATAATATACATGGATCTAGGTGCTGGTTTACAAGCTTTATCGTCCCACAAACCAAAGCCAGAATATAAAGATATAAGAGAGCAAACCTTGGAGGGCTCCTTCTGGGTGGGCTTCTAAAGCGTCTCCTCGGTGAGCGGTCAGAGTAACTCCTGTTTATCGGATACCTCCAAAATTAAACAAAAAAAGGCTTTAGTATTATCCGCAGACAAGTCTTCCTTTGTTGTAAGTATGTATTGATTACGTTACCTATCCCTGTTCCTGTCCTGGAAGCTTCTTCTGTCCGGCCAATGTCGAGGAGGGGAACGCTCAGGAGAAGGTGTACGGTACTTCCGAGCAAAGGAATAGCGTGCGGTGAACCCACGCCCTTTTCGGATGCGCTTGGGCACACCACTTGGAGAAGGGCTTCTGGTAGATTTGCCCACAGTATCCGCTGTTGGCTTCTCACGCGGACTTCTGCTTCCATTTCCAAGATCTCTCACAGGGCTCCTACTAGGACTTTTGCTCATGCTGTTTTGGTTTCTCCTACGAATTGGGCTCCTGCTCCTATATAGCAATAGAGAATGGCAACGTTTGTCAGGGACCACAAAATTAGGCGACCAAATTGCAAAAGGAAAGCTGAAATACATAAAGCCAGCAAGATAAACCTCGATTTCACTGAATCATCCAAGTCAGCGCGGTGATCAGCTTTGGTGGCCTTTCCATTACCCACGGGTTCATTGTTCTTCAGCAAAGAATCTGACTCCTTTCTCAGAAGGCTCTTCTCTGCAGGACTAGAATCAGCAGCATTCCCTACAAGCACAGTTGTCGAAAGTTTAACGGCATCGGTTCCAAAAAGAGTTAGATTCTTTAAGCAAAAACGGCAAACTTGCAAAATGTAATTGCCAAATAAGTTGAAAGAACCAGGATCCATAATAAGCACACTAACCTTTAGCTTTCACTGACTTTCTGGCTTTATCGCGGCCCACTCTCTCATCGTCAGAACTGCTGCTCATGCTGTTACTCTCGCTGTCACTTGAACTATCCGGGTTTCTGAAAGGAACCACTAATAAAAGTAAGCAAAACAATTGGCAGAGAAGAAATTAAATTACCATGAACAAATAGTGAAACCTGCGCCGAGGTTTTCTAGCTTTCTTTTTGCCATTTCGTCCTTTAATTTTTTGTTCCCCGCGTCGGCCTTTGTGTCTCTTTGTTCTCCTCTTCCTACGCTTTCCATCACTGGAAGAACTAGACTCATAGGAGGATGAATATGTCTCTGATTCCGAATCTGAGTCAGAACTTAAGCTATCAGAATCCGAGGAAGAGTATCTTTTTCGCTTTATCCTTTTCTCCTTCGATTTTTTTTTGTGTGTCCCCTTAGCTTCACGGTCAGATACATTATCAGAAGAAAGGCCCTTGTTCGATTTTTTTGATTTCCCTGAAAAATATGATATGCATCAGCATCATTAATCTGGAAACCTCACATTCAAATATTAACTTCATTACCTTTTTCTCTTTCAGAAACATCATGTGCTCTTATCTGAGACGTATCTCCAGAGTCTATTATCTTAACTGGGCTAGTAGGTTTTCCATCACTCGTCCCTACAAGTTCCATTTTCTTGATTACTGTCATTCCCTCAACAACTTTGCCAAATACAACATGCTTCCTACAATATGATTGAGGAATATCAGTACCCTTGACAGTGCATAAACCTTATGTGTGTCATTTACAGTCTAAGAACAGAGATTACCCATCAAGATGTGGCTGGCGTTTAAAAAGTATAAAAAATTGGGACCCGTTGGTGTTTGGGCCAGAATTTGCCATCGAAAGGACTCCAGCTCCATCATGGTCCAGTCTAAAATTCTCATCTGTAGGGGTAACGGGGTTAAATTGAGAGAGAAAAAAAGCAACTTCACATAGCCGGAAACAGAAAAAACGGAAAATATACCTGAAAACTTCCCACCATAGATGCTCTCCCCACCAGTGCCTACAAACCAACCAAAGTCCTCATAAAATTCGGAATTATATTATAGGTCAAACTGAGTACATCAGTAATAGCATTCCAAGAGTATCTGCTGTTATTATAACCAGCAAAACTTCACTAAGAAGATGTCTAAACAAATACATTCTTTCATATTCACAGAGCTATTGTTTTCATTCTGTAAACATATAAACTAAATTCCTTGTGTCAATTTCTTAAATTTTGTGTTAATTAACTCTGCCTCCACAAAATATGTTGTCGTAAATAATGAATATTGTGATGTTATGTACTATAATCTCACGTATAAAGGATCACAAGTTCGAAGATTACCATTTCCAACAGAAAAATCACCTCCCTGCAAGAAAGAGAACCAAAGTGTGAATAAAGAGCTTGTTTTCCATCAAATGCATACAAAATGATAGAGCAAAAAAAGGCAGGAAAAGAACAATGTGAACATACTTGAGCCATAAATCCTTTGATTACTCGATGGAAAGATGATCCTTTGAAATGTAGAGGCTTGGTAGTGGTCTTTCCAACGCCCGCTTCACCTACAACAAGTAAAGCATCAGAACAATGAAATGTGAATCCCATAAAAGCAAAGCAGGGTCAATTGGAATCTGGCGAGATTAAATGACAGAGATAGATGTTGTAAGCAAGTCTAAGGTACCTGTGCAGAGGGCACGGAAGTTTTCAGCGGTCTTGGGGACAACATCGGCAAAGAGCTACCATTGATTTGATAGGAGGAAAATATAAAATTAACATAAGACAGAAAAAGAAAAGAATGGGGTAAAGCAAAAAAGAAAATGCAGAGTGTTGATGTAAAACCTCAATAACAATCCGTTCAACTGGATCGCCACCAATTGATACATCCAAGAAAACATGAGGATTCTTCTTTTTAGTCATCGCTGCAACAAAAAAAAGATAACATCCGTGAGGGTAGAATAAGCACGATGTGCTGGTTTTGGAAGCAGAAATACAACAAACTTGTATCAACGAAGGTGATGAGGTGCTCAAATTGAAACCAACATAAAGCTGAGATAACAGATCTATCAGATTTATTATTAGGACAAACTATAAACCCTAAACCCTAAAAGAAGAAGTAGTAGAGAAAAAGAGGATGAAGGAGTGCTACTTCATCCGTCCAAAGCAGAACCGAGACAGAAATAATAACGAAGCCAGTAAGCAATAAACGAGGTCGTGATTCTCGGAGGGCACCTACCAGCGAATCGAGCGAGCCGGAGACTAAACGGAGACGGTGAAACGAGTAGCCGCGGCCGTTTATCGAGCTAAAAAAAAAAAAAGAGATTGGAAAATTTAGTGAAAGAAAATTAATCAATCTAGTGCATTAATATTATTGCCACGTGTCGAGTCCAGTTAATTGGATACTAGTACTACTTATTTAGGGGGCGGCCTCATGGAGCCCGATGGGCCTCTAAATTGGAATCGGAATGGAAGATGATGATTACTCGGCGGCTGCGACTACCCTTCTGTTCGACCGTCCGATACCTCTGCTCCGGGGACCAGTGCCCGCCGGTGGTTCTTATATTCTAGCTTTCCGATCCCTTGATTCATGGTCAGCCGCTTTCAAGCGCTGCGAAAACCTAATCAAGGAGCAGTGCGAGGAAGGTGCGAGAATTGGGTGCGCCGTCGCCGCCTCTAATAACTGTAAGCCGCCGTGGTGGCGACGCTCTGGTGGTGGTGGTGACATGAAGGAGCGAGAGAAGTGCGAAGAACGGGAATTTGAGGGATGCGTGGCTGCCGCCATGGGAAAGTGTGCAGGCTTCGCCAAAGACAAGTGTTCTGGAGCGTTTTTAGAGGCGCGAATCGCGAGTGAGGTCGAGGGACTGGTGCGGCTAGCGTCAATGCCGGAGGATAGCACGTGGCGGCATCTCATGGGCCTGAGTTCGCTGGTTCGGATCAAGTGCTGCAGAGCCAGGGATCTTCTAAACCAAACTCGTCGTAATTAGTTGCAGGATGATGAATTAGTACTTATGGTGTATGTGAGGATGATGATGTTCTTATTTCTGGTCAAACTGTTGTGAGCTCAAGTTTTTAATCGTAACGTTGGAAATTACTTACTTTATCATGTCTCCCTCTATCTGTTTGAGATTTTTAGCAGAATGATTCAGAACTAACAAAGCTCTTCTCTTTGCATTTCTCTCTCTCTTTTTGTACAGCATTTACAAAAGATGATTACAGACTGACTCATATATTATAAGAAAGACACACCTACTTGAAAGCCTCTTTCCCACCACTACGAAATCTCTCAATGTATCTAGAATAAGGCCATCATAGTTAGTTCCTCAGACTCCTTCTTTCTTCTAGTTTGAATTAAGAGCAAAACGCATTAAGTTAATTTGGTGCTGCTTGTCAAAAAAAGAAAAAAAAAAAAGACTCTTATTTCTTGTCCGCATCACTGCGTGATCAGTTTTAAATGTATGCTATCAAAGCCTCTGTGTATGTGTGTTGCCCTCTCTCTCTCTATACGTTATGTTTCGTCTGCAAACTTTGATATTATGAGGAGTTTCTTATAGTGCTTGCTTTGCAAAAGAGCCTTTGTAAATATATATCCCTCTTGAATCTGCAGAGCTCTTTCTTTGGTGGTCACGTCTAGTTTTAGTGGAGGTCAACTTATTTTGTGTCTTTACAGCGCAGAGTCAACTACTGCTTTACGTCTTGCTGTCGTCACATGAAAGTACAAAGAGATGAGGCTCCCATTCCTTGACAACGAAAATGGAAACTGCAACGAAGTTTCGGGGATGAAAACTTTTGTCCTACACAACGATTCTCACACGCTACTCTGTTATAATATATGTATATTCAACTTCTTTTCTTTGTAGACAACTAGAAGGAGAAGTGACAAACTCGGTTTTGTTTCATTCATCATGCAAATGCCAATTTGACTGAGTAGTATAAATTCACTTAATAGATATAGCAAAAAAGCTGGTGTGGATGTGGAAGATTCAAAGGCTCTAGTCCTTTTTTTCCTTTCGTTTTGCTATTATTGCCATTTCTTATATTAAGTTGGTACACGCACGTTATTGTTGTTCATCATTCTACAATGACGGCTTGTCTACACCAGACTAGATTATTCCATCGTATGGCTGCTTTAACATCATTACTTAACTCTCTTTTTTTTGGGGCACAATGGTTTGAAACCCTAGCAAGAGCCAATAGATAAGTCAACATACAAGTACGAAAGGATGTGCAGCCCATGTCCTTTGATCCACATGCCTTGTGTTTACACGTGTTTTGAGTGGTTACACCTCCTGAACAAAATAATCTACGACAAGATAAAATTGTATAACAATAGCTTTAACGATTTTATTTGGAAGCACAAAAAAAAAAATGCAAAGGCGGCCAATACGGATTTATATAGCAGAGCACGAAGCTCAGGTTTTTGGAGAGAGATCATTTCTTTCGAGTCTTGAGTGTCTTACAAGTCACACCAAATATAGACGAGACTCTTTTATTCCCCTTAAAACTCTATCTCTCTTTACACACAAAGCATATGAGAGACCTCCAAAAATATGATTGCAGTTCTCTGCTGCTCAACCTTGCCACCCCCAGCCTCAACAAGGCCCAGAGGCGTTGGCGTTTTGCCTACGCTACCATCTACTCTGTGAGGGCTATGCTCTCTCTCGTTAAGGAGATGGTTCCCACAAGGATTGATCCCAAAACCTCTGATGCCTCCCTTTTCAAACTGCTGCAACAAGGTGGCTTACCAGTTCACTGTTATAGAGACATAAAACAAGATTGCTAGGTTGGTTTAAGAAGATATCTGGATGGCTTAGGAAAACGAAGGAAAAACAATTGTGTGAGTTTGAGTTTTGGCGTACCCTTTGTTGGGTAGTAAGACTACTTTGGCTTATCTGCAGTATAGTCGAAGGAAGGGTGGGTAATAACACTAGCTTTGGTTTATTTGATGTACAGTCAAAGACTATATTACACCGTTTGTACTTCTTAAAGCTAAATAAGTAGTAGGCAGGAAGTTTTGTATTGAGATAAGGGTTATATATTATATACAGCGTGCGAGATAGAGTTTGTTTGGTAATGTTTAGGAGAATATGGAGAGAGACCATTTTGGTTTTGTACAGTTTTCTTTTCTTAAGAGACGTTTGGCTCTGCAGAGTCTATTTTCGCCTTAAAACACTAAAACTAGATGAAATATATGGTAGAGAAATAACGCAAAAACAAGAGGGTAGAAAGTGGAGAGGGTGACAAAGCAGGAGAAAACAGATATAACCCTTACAGCGGTTTCATATAGAGAAACGTCTGTTTGTCACTTTGTTTTTCTTTCAACAGGCATGTGGAAGGTTTTATCAGTGACTGTTCCTAAACCAGGAAGGAGTGAGGCTGTCAGAGCATGACCTAGCTTGGGTTTAAGCAAAATGTGTTTCCACATTTATCTATTAACCAAAGATAGATCATGCTGGCAGCTTCACTTGTTCCCTTGTGGACTTGTCTTCATGAAAACGTTGAAAATTAGAACATATGTGGTGGAGCATACATGAAGGAGAAGAGAAAAGAGAGAGATAATGCTTTGAGGGTTGAGACGTTATCGATACTTATAGAAAGAGATGAGAGAGGATTTGAGGGACAGATGTTAAAAACTTAAAGAGATGGTTGGGTAAAAAGGAGAGAGACACCACGAATTAAAGAAGCATGAAACAGTGAATTAAAAGAAGCATCATCATGCATACAGCTAAGAGAGGAAGGAAGAAGAGAGAGAGAGAGAGACAAAATCAATAGGGCTATGGAGAGATTAGCGCCTCGGCCCTGCATACCTATATCTCCACCACCTGTGACCCTAAATATACTCCTTTATTGTGATACATCTCTTTCTTTCTTTCTTTCTTTCTTTCGCTCTCTCTCTCTCTCTCTCACGTACACACAGTGTCGTACCTGATTTTAAATCTTGACCGTCAAGAAGCTTGCGCCAAAGTCCATGCTTAGTTTGACTCCGTATCTACAAGACCGCATCTTTAGGTTTTGCATCAACCACCCTCCAATGTTTGCTCCTGCATTTAGGATCCCACAAAATAAGGCTAATAAACCATCATTCTCTTAAGCAATGCAAATACAAAGACGTAAACAGGAAACAGCTGCGGTTTGTGGATTGTGTTTGAATGCAGATGAATATAGGTGGAATATATGAAATATTCATCCACGGGTTTGGTAGGTGTGGGTTTAAAAGCAAACATAATCACAAGGAGAAAAGAGAGATGAGTATCTTGGAGACATTTACTCTTAAAAGACCTACTAGGTCTCTGCTGAACAGCCTAGTTAGACGACTCTATCCCTAGCTTGGTGTCTAGGTCTCTGCTTCATGCTTTTAATTACTGATATGCCTTTACTTTCTTCTTCTTAATCAGGTCTCCATCTTCTCTTCTACTCTGAATTCCCTTTCAAGCTCTCTCTTTCCCTTCTATGGTGTAAAACAAAGGGGGTCATTGCACTCCTAAAATGACGACTTCTTGTTGTTCTTGGTGGGACACAGGCAAATAACCATATGCAGCTAAAAAATTGCATAATAATCTTCGTCTAGAGTGGTGAACATATGCGTTGTCAAGTTTAAGCAATTGCTAGCCTCTCACTGTCCATGCAGAATCTGAACCTTCTCCCCTTGATCAACATAATGCAGAACGAACATTGTATAACCTGCTTCCTCCTCCAACTTCCTAGTAACCTCGGACAATTCTCATATATCTCTTTGGTCTCTGGACTCTGGGTGAGACTTGTCTCTTGGTGTAAATTTATGAACCTTGGCGTTGATCTCGATCCAAAAGATAGAGTTGATTTCTGGACAAGAGCGTGAATCTCTTAGCCTAGTTTTGCATATGAAAAACCTTCACAGGCTGTGAGAGCCGGTGTAGCTGTTGGAGGCAGGACTATTCATCTGCATTTCTCTGAACAACTCTAAAGCCTCAAAAGATTGGCCAGACATAGTAGAAAACCACAGAAAAGTATCTTGGGATCAATCAAACAAAACAGACGCCTTGTTGCGGTTTGGTCATCATTCTTTTTTAGCATAAATGGAAAGCAACCCATGGACAATAAAATCTGTTTAACGAGAAGACAATAAAGCTCAGTCCCAGTCCGGAAATATCTAAGATGGCCGCAGGCTTTAAGCAAGAGAGGGACGCCTTCGACCAGGTAATAGAGTAAGAGCCGAAGCATGCTCATCATTGGCAAGATAGGCTCCAATACTCGCATTCCACGCAAGAGGCCGTTCTCTTTGACGCATTTCGTCAAACACTTTCTCTGCGTCATCCACAGACCGACGCTGACGGTACATCAAAACAAGCTTCCCAGCCCAAAAATAAATTCAAAGCGGAGAGAGTCTTGAAATGATGGAATGCAGCTGCCGACACTGAGATAGAGAGAGCTCCAAAATTGCCACTGAGCTCAAGAACGTAGGCATAAGCTTCGATGCAAGTCGCTGACGTCTAAGCTTCGTATAGGTGACCATCGAAAGAAGAGACGAATTGGAATGGGATAAGTGGGAGATGGGAAGACTAGCATGGAGACGAACCGTGGGATTGTAAATCGCGGATGATATTTGATAGAATGAGACGGGGAAATATTTGCTGAGTGAGTGGCCTCGTTTTACTGCATATCTTTTGACTTTTGAGTTTTGACTTTCTTCTTCAGGGAGAAGGAAGCAATCGCAGCAGCTCCTAGACTGAAGATTGATACAGTCATTAAGTAGCCATGGTTCAAACCTTTATCGGACTACTGCCTGCCGGTGTTTCCATATTAAATTGACGCGTGGCCGACCGATTAAAAAGAGTTAGAATCTTGTTAATCAAATTTACCATTGGAGATTAATACGATACCGCCTAATCCAAAAACATCGAAATCATTGGGGATGGTGTGTCTCGCACGTCATCGGTTGATTCGTATTTCATTGATATCTCTTATAATTTGGTGTAACACGAAGCCTAATGAGAGTCAACGAAAACATGGGGAAGATTATCAACTTCTGATCTTATTATTGGTTTTCACAGGTTATACATACTCCGTCTCAAATAACATGTTGCTGTCTATTACACTTATATAGGATAGGATTCATATTGGAGCAAAAGGAGAAGCGCAAGCCCAAGGATGTGAGTGAGGATGCGAACATCTACCAAACTTCCCGTGTTGGTTAAAAGATGCCGGAGAGCGCCTACTCGTGCAACTACGAAGGAGCTATACTCATCATACAAATGGTTTATTTTGTTGGATCTCCGTCTTCATCTGCTTTGATTGACCGATCATAATACTAGTATCCTTATGCTCTCTCTCTTTCTTCTGTTGATTACTAGACGCGGACATGAACTCTCAAAACCTAATTAACTTGGTTCACATTCGCCTCTTCTTCATTATTCCAGTTCTCGTTGTTCATCAATAACTCTTCCCAGAACCCGTCGTCGAGCTCCCTCTCCACGCCATCGATCCGTTTCCGTCCATATCCTTGCATCTCTAGCGCCAGCGCCTCAAGCTCCGATACGTGCTCCACTGCTTCCGTTTTGACCAAGCTAGCCTGATCGATCATTGCAGCCTCCTCTAGCCCTCTCATCTGCTCAAGTACCTGCTGCAGAAGCGAAGGGTTCTGTACCGCACGCCTCAAGAAGGACATCATGTGCCTCTGTTTCTTCTCTACACCGTTAATCCTCTGCTCCATGGCTTGGATGTAGCCTCTCGCTCTCTGCTCCTCCTGTCTGAGCCTCGATAGCTCCATCACTAGGACATGCCTCTCTTCTCGGAGCTGCGGAAGCTCGACGCTGGGGTCATGGCTCTCGGGGTGAGAGTGGATGAGTGAGGAAGGGAAAGAGGAGGAGGTTCGTCGCTTGATGCTTTTCAAAAGGTCTCTTTGACCCATTAAAAAACCTTCATTCATAAACTCCCATCTCTCTGTCTCGATCTTTCTAAAACCCTGCCGGTAAGTAAATAATCAATTATTAAATTTAAGTTTTATTTTTCTCTTGCGACGTCTTTGATATTACATGACCGTCTTTAAAAAATCCTAATCTTAAATTTTTATAATTCTTTTTTTGTTGTTAGACCACACCACCTCGGAAACAAACAAACAAACAAACAGGACATAAAATAATAGAAGGAAGTTGATATATGAATAAAGTTGAACATAACTTATACGAAGTTGTCGGTTTAAACAACAAATTTCACAACGGAAAACAAATTAATTACCATTATGAAGTAATCGGAGGCCGAACGCATCATCGAGGTCCTCCAAAACTATAAGACCAAGGGAGCACAAAAGTGAAACGAAAAGAACACGTAGCAATGTCCTATAGCGGAGGAACAGAGATACTTACGTAAGTGTTGAGTTGTCTAACAAAGCTGGAGAAGTTGTTGTGCTTGAAGTATAGAGGGAGAATAGACGCGGAGAAGGAATATGGATCCCAAACAACAAAACTGATGCCTTCCCTGCTCCAAGAGACAATGTTGTTTGTGTTTGGATCATCCACCATCTCGTATGTCTTTGCTAGAAACGGTGAAGGCCCTGGTTCCTGCAATCCCTCAACTGGCACATGCGGCATTGACCGCGCTCTCGACCTTGACGACGGGTCCATCTCGGAGTATTGCTAGATCTCAAATAACCTGTGATTAGATTTCATGTAAATTGTAATCGAAGCAAGGACATAAACCATTTGGGTTCCTGATCAGAGAAGACAGAGACCAAACAGAAAAGGAACAAAAAAAAAAAAAAAAAAGAGCGGGAAGTGTGTATTTTTTTGAAAACAGAGTACTCTGCTTTCCGTGGTGGTTTAGTTTATGGAAGTTGAGGGAGGAGATGTGGTGGAGACAATGGCCACGTAAGTAACTTACATATTATATATATGTAGAGGGGAGGTAGAGAACCCAACTTCTTTTAATCACATAGTAGTAAATGTCGAACTTTCTCGAAACATTACAAAGAGGATGGTTGCATATTCTCATTAGAAGTTAGAACGTTCCGGAACTTGATACTTTTTGAGGAGAGTAAAGGTGAGACAGTCCTATGTGGACCACATGGTTTCCGTCAAATGATGCTAGTATAGTTTTTTTTATATATTTTTTACTATTTTAAGTTTTCACACCAGTCGTAACTAGAGGTGGCATCGATCGGATACGAGATTAGAACCACTACTAGTTTTTAATATCGAAAGTGTCATGATGTGAAAAAACTGAATATTTGGAAATGGGTTTATAATAATAGTACGTACTAGCCTCGGGAAATTCGAATACACGATATACTCAAACTGATTGGTACATTTGGATTTTTCCGAAAAGCAGTACAGTCCAATGGGGAATAATATATAGGCTAAGAAAACGTGGCGAAAGACAAAACGCACCACGCTGTGTTTGATGTCTCGTAGAGTGTGTTTTGTCGTCGGGCATAGCGACAACGTGGCCGCTCCACTCGACGCAACTTTGACGTTGCTTGCTGTATTATCCCTATTATTAATTGCTTATTGTTAGAATTTGAAAAACACACAGGCAACCGAACATTCCATGATGCAGTCCTCCTCACAACACAACTCTCTCCTTTGTCTTTCTGACAATTGTGGGCTTTGCAGTGAATTATTTTCTTGGAGTGGGCTTTGAACGGACCTTTGGATCATATCAATAAAGCCCAAACAATCATTAAAAGCCCAAAACAACCCAATAACCTTTTGGAGTGGGCTACCTAGTTCTTCTATTGTTTATAGCTTTGAGATTTTCGATCTTTTAAAGCTGATCTAACTGGCAAACATGTTGCTTGCTCCACTGTGACTCGGCGATCATTGTTGGTTTGGGAACTTGTTTTAGTAATAGGCTAGCTTGTGTGTGTATTCAGAGAAATCCCTCAAATCTGGTTACAGGAAGCCATGTAGGGAAGATGGTGTCCAAAATCAAATCATGTCTGCTAAATCTAGGGTTCCTTGTATCCTTGTTGGCGAATCATTGCGGGGGTGAATCTTCGACGTGTTTGGCTGTTTACAAAGAAGGCGGAGCTCCAGGGGTTTTTCAATCCCCCAAATGCCCTCGTTGGAATCTCCACAATTGGGGTTGGGGGGCTTCTCGTACCCAATCCGCAAGTGGTCCTTGCCACACCGCGGCCATACAGGGTCGGAGGAATTACCAGGAGGATCGTCTTCTCTGTGCCCTTGATCTTCGCATCCCCTTTCCCCGTATGCAAACTTGTTCCGTCTGCTTTCTTATCCCTTCTCCAAGTTTATATAATCGAACTATTAATAAAATGGCATTTGTGCAGGCAAATCTGGAACAAAGGATGTTTTGGTTGGAATCGCAGCAGTCTTTGACGGTCATAATGGTGCAGAAGCCAGTGAGATGGCTTCAAACCTTTTCTTGGATTACTTTGCTTTGCATATCAACTTTCTCTTGGACGCTACCTTTTCTGCTATGACTCGCAAGTTGATTGGAAGATTACCAACTCATCCAGAGCACGGTCTTATTTTGCATGGCGTCAGTCAGGACGAGATCACGCATCTGTACAACCTCGATTTCTTATTGCAGTTGAGTAATCCTCTTTGACATTTTAGAATATATGGCCTTCTAGAGGAGCCACCACTGCATTCCATTCCATGTGATGTTATTTTCTAATTTTGTTAGATCCCTGATTTCCTTGCAGGTTTCGAGACTCATTGCCTCTTGATTTTGACGATTCTCTTCACTTAGATATCATGAAAGAAGCATTGCTGAGAGCGATCCATGACATTGATGCCACATTTACTAAGGTACACTGGATATCCTCTACTCATTCCGTCTAACTTTTTCTTTTTCCTTATCAAGATAAGGATTTAACCAGCTTCACTTTGTTTTTCTCCAGGAAGCATCTACTCGAAAGTTGATTTCAGGTTCAACGGCTACAATTGCACTTATCGCAGATGGTCAACTCATGGTTGCTAGTATCGGTGACTCAAAGGCACTTCTGTGTTCCGAAAAATTTGAGACTCCCGAAGAAGCTAGAGGTTTGGCAACATCTATTTCTAAAACCAAGCTTCCTAACAAAAACCCACTAGTGTGTTTATTTATAAACATTTTGTTGCAATGGTGTTTTGTTTACCGCAGCTACTTTGGTGAAGTTGTACAGAGAGCGAAGGCGCAACCAAGGCTCCTCGCCATCAAGGTTTTCTGATTTTAAACTGGAACATGGCAATGGACTACTGCGTTTCATTGCCAAAGAATTGACAAACGACCATCACCCTAATAGAGAGGATGAAAAGATTCGTGTTGAAGCTGCAGGAGGTTACGTTACTGAGTGGGCTGGTGTGCCACGAGTGAATGGTCAGCTGACTCTCTCCCGATCAATTGGTGACCTTACTTATAGAAGGTAAGCATGCTTGTTGTAACTTAGTGTCTCTCTGTACCGATGATCATGCTTATTACTGAAACTGGGTATTTTGATATCTTTTTCAGTTACGGTGTCATCTCTGCACCTGAGGTGATGGACTGGCAGCCTCTACTGGCTAATGACAGTTACTTGGTAGTGTCATCAGATGGCATCTTTGAGAAGTTGGAGGTGCAAGAAGTTTGTGATCGTCTGTGGGAAGTGAACAATCAAACTAGCTCTGGAGCAGGAGCGCCTTCATACTGCTCAATTTCTTTGGCAGACTGTTTGGTTAATACTGCTTTTGAGAAGGGAAGCATGGACAATATGGCTGCTGTTGTTGTTCCTTTAAAATCGAATCTAGTTACCCAGCTCCAACGGAAGGAGCAGAGTATGACTGACAACCAAGACAAGATTGCTGCAACACTACCTAGTAACAACTGTGCGATGCCATGTGAGTTTCTCTGATTACAATCCAATTCTCTAACATCCTGATTATGAAATGTAGAGTCTGGACTTCAGTGATGATCGTTCATACAATCTCATGTTTGGCTAAACAAGTTTTTGTCTTTCAACAGTGCCTAACGATATGAATCTGGGTCCATTGCAATTGAAACAGGCTCAACCACTTGCAACCATGTTTAACAGGTTATTGGTAGGACCCAGATGACACAATGTCAATCTTCCCATATTTAATTTGTTCTTAGTGCATTCTCTGACAAATAATTGTCATATGCATCATCTCATTATTGTGGAAAATGTCGGATTGAGCTAATGACTTCTTTTGTAATGTGTACCTTCTTATAAAAATTGATTTTGTTAGCAAGAATTATTGCGCGGGTTGGCTCTACATTTTTTACCAATCGTTAGAAAAGTTTGCATTATTGCCTGGAAATTGTTACAACTTATATGATTTGGGCCATGCTTCAAATGCCAGGTTGAAGTTAAAAATGGAAGTTTTTGCCGCTTTTATATGTCAGAAAACCTTATTGGGGCGTCTCAAGGGCAACTGGATCAGTTGAACGGTTACATGGGTGACTTACCTCAGGTTCTATCTGCATCTGCCGATTCATTCTCTGGTAAATGATAAAACTCTTACTGGAGTCCTCTTTTATATCAGAAATCTTAATGTTCTTAGTTTTTGATTCCGGTGAACTAGCTTTAGTCATAATCAAATCCCTGATTTATTCCCCTTTTTGTGCATTTTGAAATTATTTTTGATGAATTAGGCTGGTGTTTGCCTTCTGGAACGGCTACCAACGAGAACCGAGATCAGTGTATCAATCCTGATAGCTTTGCTACTTTCCTTGGGTTACTTGAATCTGTACCGTTACATGGTTTTAACGGGACGGATGAGATTCCATTTCCGGATTTGAGGTGCTTTTTTCTTTTCCTTTGGGATTGGTCAGTTATTTCATTTCCTGACCCAAATGTCTTCTTCTTTTCCATTAGTATTGATATTAATTTTCCCTCTTTCATATCATCATTGATAACTGAGATACATGATCGTAGTAGTCCTATGATGAACAACCTACACCAAATCCTTTTTCCTTCGGTGCACTTGGCTATGTAGTCATTGCTAAAAGTTTTGGAGGGACATTTTGCCATTGTTGTACGCATTGCATGTCTTCTTGTTGCCTTTTGATTAGATATGAACGTCTCCATATTATCGAAACGGTTATGTTTCAAGACAGAAAACAATATTCTTTTAAAAGGGCTGATATAAATCATAAATGTGTAAACTGTGTGATACCATGTGATTTTTTAGCTATGTGCTGAAGAAAAAATTTGGACGTGGTGCATTTGGTGAGGTATGGTTGGCATTTCACTGGAATTGCTATCAAGGAAATAACGCTACTAGTTGGAATAATAAAGCTGTGAATACATCAAAAAATGGTGTGAATGATGATGCTTATGTTCCTGATAACTCCTTCATTTTGAAGCGGATAATGGTATGTGTACTTTTTGGTTTTTATTTTCAAATTCTCCCATCGGAAATGATGTGTCTGCAATTCTTTTCACTTTTCTCTGGCTTTGGTTGCTTAAAAGTGATGGTGCAAAGACGATGTATCTGTGATGTGGGCATCACTCTTGCAAGAGTTCTCCTAATGTTCATTGCTTATAATAAAAATTGCTTCAAATTGAGTGGTTCTTGCATAAATAGAGTGTCTGGGATTGGTTAGTCATTATGAGAGTTTGTTCTCTGTTCGTTTTGCCATCTATCGACCTATATGAGGAATGCAAATCCTTCTCAAAATTCAAGTTCTACATTTTCCCACTATTTTTCCTTAAACAGGTGGAGAGAGGATCAACTGTCTATCTAAGTGGTCTGAGGGAGAAGCATTTTGGTGAACTATTTCTAAATGCATACAATAAAAATAGAAGTTCTTCTGCAACACAAACGTCATGTTCTAAACAAGCGTCATCAGAACTGGGTCTCTCTGAAGAGGGTTTGAAACATATTGCTAGATACATAGAGTATTTCGAATCTCGATATAATGACATATGGCTCGTGTTTCACCACGAGGGTGTGTCTTTATCAAAGCTGATGTACACTGTGGAAGAAGCAGAGAATGGTTCTGCTGGTGAAAAGGCTGAAGAGGCAAGTCATGGGCAGATACTTCGTCCGTCGAAGTGGTGGACCTGGTTGAAGACGACAGAAGCAGGAAAAGAAGAAATGCAGAGAATAATATGGCAATTGGTATGTGCGTAGGAATTTGAGTTTTTTTTTTTGATTTTCTTCCTTTGTTTGATAGATGCATTGAGGTAATTTAATTCTATGTGTGCTTAGTATATTTGTTTATGTTTTATTCTTCTTTTTTCAGTTGTTAGGTCTGAAGGCATGCCATGATCGCAATATTACTCACAGAGATATCAAACCTGGTAATAAACCTTTTAATAGTTCAAATAATGTGCAATCTGTGACAGATGATTGTTCTCACGAAAATTGGTTTACAATGTTCCTAAGAGAATATGGTGATATGCCTTGAAGACATCAAGTCAGGCAGATGCTTAAAGGGTGTACCAAATGGAGATCATAACTTCAAAACTACAATGTACTTTTCTAGTTTTATTCATTTTTGCTCCATGTATTTCTACTCTGCTGCAGTCTTTTGGTTCTCAACTTGTATAATTTCTTGTTTCCTCGTAACTGATGGTTGTGTAATCACTATTTAGGCGAATCATCGACTTTGGCAGTGCCCTTGATGAATATACGATGAAACATCTGTATGGGTCAACAGGTCCTTCAAGGTATTTCCTTTTCTTTGTATATCTTTTGGATTTTGTACCTCCTCCCGTTTGTCAGTCCTGAACTTCATAATACTTTGTATTATCTTGAATTCAGAGCAGAACAAACCCACGATTATGCACCACCAGAAGCCATTTTGAACAGTAGCTGGCACCGTGGGCCAACCAGCTTGACATTAAAGTATGACAGATACAACTATTTTTAATCGTTGGTGCAACTGGCCCTGCCAAATGTAAACGTGACAACCCTTTTTCTTGCAGATACGACATGTGGAGTGTTGGGGTTGTGATGTTAGAGATGATTATAGGGTCACCAAATGTTTTTGAGATTAGTTCTGTTACACGTGCCCTTTTGGATCAACATATCAGGGGTTGGAGTGAAAACTTTAAAGAACTTGCATACAAGTAAGTTTGACTCAGGAGTAAGTAATTTCGCTTGAGATCGAGCACCATAATGCTCTTTGGACAACTATTTATCTGTTTGTATTTTTTGGTAACAGACTTCGATCCTTTATGGAGATGTGCATCCTAATCCCAGGTAGCTCTTTAAACCATGGTGGTGCCAGCTCAAAGCAGGTAAAAGACAGTTTGTTCTTTTGACTTGACTATCGCTAACACTTGTTTGACACGTCTCAGAAAGTTAATTTGATCCACAATTTATGAGATATCCATGCAAAGCACATTCAGCTACTTTGTTTTTGTCTTATTGCGATCTATGCATATTCGATTGAATATATCATATGATGTATAGGGTGGGATTTCACTTGCGTCATGGAAATGCTCTGAAGAATTTTTGGCGGAACAGATAAAGAGTAGAGACCCTCTGAAGATAGGGTGGGTTTGATGATTTTGTTGACTTGATTGTACTTCTAAAGAAGTCTTGAAAAGATATTGTTATACATTTTGAATGTGCATATATGCTGGAAAATGCAGGTTTCCTAATGTGTGGGCTTTAAGGTTGGTGAGGGGTCTACTACAGTGGTACCCTGTGAGATCCTCTGTCTTTTTCTCCGTTAAATCTTGCCGTCTGTCCTTATAGCATTGATGTGAAATTGGGGTGGCCGTGTTGACACATTTGGATTTTATATTGTGGGAGCGCAGGAGGACAGAATAAACATAGACGAGGCTCTGCAGCACCCTTATTTCCAGCCTCCGCCCGGCTCGTAAGTGTACAAAGTAGTAAGACATCTACTCTTGTAGTAATAGAACTCGTTGCTACATTTACCTAAAGATGAGTCTACTTAGAAGATCTGGAGTCGTATTGACAAACTAGTGGTGGCGTGAAATAATGGGAACAATAGGTTGTGTGTTTGTTTCGTAATTTGAAACATGCAAACAAGACGGGATTGTTGGGATATTAGAGAGTTCACACTAATCGAACGTAAAAAGGAGTGAAATTTTAGTTTGTAAAGTTGTGAAGGTAGGAGCAAGGTTGAAATGAGGAGGGAAGTAGATGGTTGCAGAGACATCAAAGAGGAGAAGCAGACGTAGCCATCAAAGGTTGTGGAGAAAGACTTACCTTCAAATTCCTAGAACGAACATTATCATACTGTAGTTTGTCTTTTCCTTGTAAATACTGAATTATTGACATGAAATTCCATGTATTCTTTTCAGTTTTCATTAGGACTAGAAATTTTATTTCACTTTTGTAATTTGTTTACCATAATAATTTTTAATTTAACTATTTATTGAGAATGGAATGTAAAAACTAGGTCTAGAAATAAACGCTACTGCAAAAAAAATTGGGTTGGTTCGGTGTTTTTGTTTTTGTTTTTTTTTAGCAGAAGATGATGACGTTGGTTGTGTAAATTTAGGCATATTTATATGTCGATGTGCTTTACAACGCAACGTTGCCGCCGAAGAATCTTCAACATGTTTGAGTATTTACAAGCATGGTGGAGCTCCGGCCGTGATCCGATCGCCCAATGGCCCCCTCTTTGGAATTTCGACAGTCCGGATCCATCACTTTTGGCAGGTTTCAAGATTCATTGCCGCTCAATTTTGATGATTCTCTTTACTTGGAAGCATTGCTCAGAGCTATTCATGCCATTGATGCAACATTCACAAAGGTACCTTTTCCGACGGATATGTACGACTGTTTACCATCTATGGAGATGATGGGCCTAGCCCATATTACTGAACTGAACAGCAGCATTAACGTTGTTGCTTCTCTATTCGGCCCAGCCAGAGCCAGTGGAATATTCTGATAACAGGTGTCAAGATCTGAGCGGTCTGATTATTTTTAATTGGGAGGACGTATCGGGAAGGTTCACCTCGCCGCCTCTTGTTGTCTTACTCCACAATTGTATATTGAAAGAACCGTCGGAAGCTGAAAAGATTAGTAATCGCCGGCGTTGACATACACACAAACGAGACGAGAGATTCGGAAGATGTGGAACCAAAAGTATGATTTGGAGTCGGCTCAGACGCCTCTCTACCCCATGATGTTGGAGAGCCCCGAGCTCCGATGGTCTTTCATCCGCAAGGTCTATTCCATCATCTCCATCCAGTTGCTCGTCACGATCGCCGTAGCCGCCACCGTCGTTAAGATTAATTCGATTTCTGTCTTCTTCACCACCACCAGCGCCGGCTTCGCTCTCTACATCCTTCTTATATTCACTCCGTTGATTGGTACTAAATAAATTTTTATCTTATTTGTCCTCAATCAAATCGACAATCTTCCTAATCTGCTTTGTCCTGCGTGCAGTGATGTGTCCCTTGTATTACTATCACCAGAAGCACCCTGTGAATTATATACTACTCGGGATTTTCACCGTCTCTCTTGCCTTTGCGGTTGGCTTGACCTGCGCCTTTACAAGCGGTAAGATCCACTGAGAGCTCAGTATAGTATCCATCGATCATCGCTAACCTGATTGATATTGTTCGTGGAACAGGGAAGGTCATTCTCGAGTCTGTCATTTTGACCGCTGTGGTGGTGATCTCCCTTACGCTCTACACTTTCTGGGCTGCCAAAAGAGGCCATGACTTCAACTTCCTCGGACCTTTCTTGTTCGGTGCCGTCATTGTGCTCATGGTGTTTTCTTTCATCCAGGTATCATATCTTATCCTTTTCTTTTTTCTTTGGATTTTCTCTGTTTGGAGGTCTTATGTCTGTTGTGGTCTATGGGCTCTGCAGATTCTCTTCCCTTTAGGTAAGATCTCAGTGATGATCTACGGTTGTGTGGCATCCATCATCTTCTGTGGCTACATCGTATATGATACCGACAACTTGATCAAGAGGCACTCGTATGACGAGTACATCTGGGCTGCTGTCTCTCTTTATTTGGATGTCATTAATCTCTTCCTCTCTCTGCTTACTCTCTTAAGGGCTGCTGATAGTTAAGCGCTCTACCTACTTCATCTGTTCAAATTCTTTTTTCTGCATAGATATTTGGCTTGTATAGATGATAAGTTGAACCTTGTAACATGGCACACCGGAAGCCAATAAATACGTTTTACTTGTGAAACTTGTTAGCTTTAATAAGTCATCTCTTCAATCAATGGAATAAAAGGATATTACAGAAGGGAATGTCTTCTACTCATTCCTCCATGTTTAAACCTATTCTTATCATAGGATGTTCGACAAAGTCTCCTAGTTTTATGTTATCAAGGTGCCATCCATTTGGACATGGAACTTTTCTGCTTCTTCTCTGCAGCAATGGCAAGAAGACGAGATACTCCCTCAGTCCATATATCGTATTCTCTCTGGTTTCTGCACTCAAATTCAATGATCCTCTTCGTTTCAGTCTTTAACCCGAAGTAGTGATTCTTGTCTCCGTTGAAGAGATCCCTGCCAGCCCATGCAGGTATATCTTTTTTCACTTCAAGCACCATTTCTGCAACAAATGTCCAAATCAAACAGTTATCACTTATATTATCTTTCCAGCTTTAGTTCAAAAGCCAGGCTAGTGTAAGAGAAGAAGCAACAGCTTGTTCGGCAAAGAACCTACGTTTCTTCTTCTTTGTAAAGGTCCCTCCGACATGTTTACTTTTCATTTTTAGCACAACTTGACCTGCTTTGTTGATGTAGACGGAAACTATCTTCCAGTGGAGATCACCTGCTTCCAAAAAATTCAAGGTTTGAGACCCTTCTTTTTTTTAACTCACCGTACTAAGTTCTTTATACATGTGTAGCTTTGTAGTTACCTCCACGAGTTCGTTTGAGGAGCTCAGTGCCTTTAGCCAGTAGTTCCTGATTGCAGACTCCGAGGAAGTCTTCCCCAGCCATAGGTAATTCTCCACTGAAGCTGCTATCGCTATGCTTTGTGTCAACCTGGCCACACAGCGCTGAACTTGTTCCTTTCTCGGCTGGTAACACAGCAGCTATGTTCCATACTTCTTTCAGTGCTCGTGCCTTGAGTGTAGCAGCTCCTCGCAGAGCTGCAGAAAGTGGGTGAATTCACATATGGTATCTAGACAAAAGTAATTTGACTACATTTTAATGCAATACCTGTTGCAGCAGCTGCAGTAAGCGTAACAATATCGTCATGGGACTTAACATTTACTGCAGAGCTCACAATGGATGTCAAGTGATCCCTTTCTGCGCCCATGATTTCTGCGGCCTCCACACACTGAGCAGCCACCAGAGCAGCGGCAGAAGCCATGGCCATATCAATTCTGGCCATCTGCTCGTTTTTACCAGGTGAAGAAGCTGCTGTCGCTGCAGCTACAGCTGCCACGGCAGATGCAACGGCGGCAACCGAAACAGCTGCATGGACCTGTGCATTCTGAGCTCTACTCTCTTCTTTCTTCTTTTCCTTTCGGTCTTTGAGCCACCTACCAACTGTCTTTGGACCCGTTCCAGCCATGGGGGTAATGCTCCCGTTTCCAGTGGTGCCACCGCGGCTGCCTCCTGTACCGGAGAAGAGAGGCTGTATGGTGTTGTGGGTGCGAAAGTACTGCATTAGGATTGGTTTAGGTGAACGGAGTTAATGACAATTCTAACAAGTTGATGGCACTGAATAAAAGACAAGAAAAGCAAACGGAGTAGTTGATTGCTTGGAAAGGGGGGTAAGCAAGGTGAAAAATCTCTGTGGGAGGGAGTAATAGCAATTCCCGTTACAGTCACATACCTATTCCTGTATCCGAATGTCTTTAACCGTAAAGGTATTCTAATTCATCAAAGTGGAGACAATGCATTCAATATAAAATAAAACTTGAATCGCATATCATCTATATATCCATCGATCTATCGCCGACAGGCTTTTAAAGCGGTCTTATAGTCCCGAGACCCAGACGGCTAATCCCTGGCACTTGCTTAAATTAAGGCAAGCGACCCAATTTAAGATGATGTTCTGCCAACTAAACTAAAGATTGGTCTTTATATAAATATAGATATGTTCCCTAATTTATTAAATGTAAACATCTCTATTAGTAAAATGGAGGAAAACAATGTGTCAATAGAGAGAGAGAGAGGCTAAGAGTCAAAGTCAAATCTGATTTTATCTATTCAAAAAAGAAGGAAGTGTTGCTTCTGCCTTCTGCCTTCTGCCTCTGCTTTCACTTGGTTGTGTACTTTTCTCTTTGACTCTTTTTTTTTTTGCTTTTTACTTTGATAACAGACAAGCTCTAAAGTATGCGACCTACGTTCTAAGTAAAAAATAATGATCGAAACTCGTAAAATGATAAATAAACAAGGATTAGAGTTGCTATAATGGATTTAACAAGAACCTTGACGACGTCGTCGAAGTCGTCGGAGGGGGAGATGGGAGGACTGTCTGTCTCCGTGAAAGAGCCACCGCCGTTGAGTGGTCCGCTACTGTGTGATAGCCTTCCGGATGTTAACGGCGACACATCCTTCATTTTCGAAAACAGAAACTCATATCAAGATGGCAGCTACAAATCTACAAGTACAAAACTATGTGTAAGTGTAACCCGATAAGGTCCGTACGTACCGATTGAGACATAATGCGCTCAAGAACAAGCTGTGAAGTGGCGGAAGCAGCGAAAGAGAACTGGCTGCTGACACTAGCATTGTTCTCCGGCGGACATTCTTCTTTCTCAGGGTTTATCGTTTCTTCCGGTATAGGAGTGTTGATGGAGGAGGGAGCTCTGTTGGTGGCCGAAGCTGATTTGGCGGTGTGGAGAGCCCTCGAGACTTCCAAGGCAGAGACGCTCCAGGATCTAGACAGGAACTCCATTGGACCCCGTGGGCTTTCCGGCAAATGAGTACTACCGGTGCCTGGAGAAAACATCTCCGGCCGACGAGAGCTGTTGATTGGGTTCGGTCGTCGAAGTTCTCTCTCCATCCTCTCTCTTAGCTTGACAAGGAAACTATGATCGACAACCTTTTCTTTTTTTCTTTTTTCTTTTCTTTAGAAGGAAAAAAGAAAAGAGTGATTGTTTTGTTGAGACAGTAGTAGTACCAGTAGGGACTAAACAAACATGTTATATATAGTCGCTGCGTAAATAATGGGATACCATAAAAGACGTCCCTTTTCAATTATAAGGGAGCCCAATTGTTTAACAACACACTGTACACACATACAAAAAAAAAACAATTACTTTAGACGTCTGGACAAAAATGCATCCTTGTAATTAGCCTTTATATTAAGTAATCAAAATAATCATAACTATTTGGATAGCAGAATAGAGGAGTCAGTCTTATACAGTATGTTTGAATTCAGATGAGCCCAAAGAAAAATTGAAATCTGTGATTAGAGTGTTGTGTCTCTTAAGTCTTAACTAAAGAAAGCATATATTTTTTTATATTTATTTTTTAGGGTGTGTTTGTTGATTAAACAAGCTATCTCTAAGTCTTGGTTTATTTGTAGATCGTATATATATCATCACTGCTCTATGGATTAAGTGTACTCGATCATAGAATATTGTTTGTTGGTTAACTGATGGATTTGGCTTATTTTAGGTGCTAAAACTTGGTGAGATAAGGATCCCATAATAAAGAAGTGAGACGACTGCGTTTGATCAGTCTCTGTACATATATGATTTTGGTCCCTCAGCCTTTCTTTACTCACTGTTCCCTTTGTTTTGAAACACAAAGCTGCGAACTTTGCGTACATTCACATATGCATAAGCTGCAGCTTCTGCTTTCGCGTGCTTTCCCTTACGTCACCTTCTTCTCGTTCTCTCTCTATCTCTCCACCGCCACCTCTACTGCAACTTCGTTATTCATTCATTCATTCCAATACTATCAACTTATATCCAAGCTTCTCCTGTAGACTTTTGTTTCTCGTAAAACACGCTATCTATCATTGTTGAGATATATAGATCAATCTTATGCACTTGTAATCTTATTTGATATATTACAGCGCACATCACGTCACACATATCTAATATTCAAGATATCATGTACACATGTATATACTTGTATAATGCACTTTGAAAGAAACCATCTAATAGAGTGGGTGACCACTGACCACTACTTAATAAAGATACATCCTTTATTCCCTTTTGCTCTGTCTAATTCTAGGGATACCCATATTGTATTTCCATTCTTTCATTATAAAAATTTCTGTCTCTCTCTGATTATTCCTTTGCCTTGCAATCATTGTTCTTGTTTGGACGTTTTGTATATTATACCAAAATTATTTTATGAAAATTGAATGTGTCTGCACTGCACTTTGATTGATGATGAATGCTCTTTTCCCGTATTAGTATTGTTTATTCAAAGATTACTTTTTAGCTACCATCTTCTCTTTTGCTTTTGATTTCCTTACCGATAGACACCTACAGTATATATCCGCTCTCCATGGTGTTTTAGACTAGGGTTTTGAAACCAAGGTACACCTTTTCAAGTCAAAGCAAGCATCTTTCAAGGGAGAAAGTTTGAAACTTTCGTTTTGAATTCACCGCAAAAAAAAAGACTTGCGGGTAAAACCCTTTTATCGATTTGATCTACACGTACAAAAACCATTCACGAAAAAAACGATAAATCATAAAAATGTCAAAAAAGAAAGAAAAAGATTGATTCCCTAAACGAATCTGCGAAGAGGGGGAGGCAGCTTTTACTTTAATAACAACACTTTGTCTTAATGCGACGCTTGAAAGCAAACAAAGAGATGTAAGAATGGAACAGCATCTGGGGAGACACAACAGGAACATAAACTGAGTCACAGAGAGAGACTAAAGAAGAGCAAAATAAAAAGAAAGCATGTTTGATTTGAAAGAGAGAGCTTTTGACTGTGAAAACGATGTAACAGCTTTCACTGTTATGGCTCCAACATCGAAGTACACAAGACGAATCCCAACCCTTTAATCTGATCTCTCTCTAGAACTAACACCCTCCCTCTTGGCTCATTCTTTTTTGGCTTCAACTACTCATTACCATGAACGAATTGTATCTAAAGACTAGACAAGGCTATTTACCTGCGGGGTTTCATTTCACATGCCTCAATTTATCACTATTATTAGATTGCAAACCACTCCCTCCGTAATACTGCTTTGTTGTTTCCCGAGAAAACTCGGCAAACGTCATCCCATCCCTTAACCGAGACGATAGAGGTGGAACGATTCTTTGTATCTCTGGATTAGGGACCTCATCCGTATCAGGGAGCTGACTCTGTAGAGAATATGACCTTAGATGTTCCATTGTATATTCTGAGACTGAAAAAGTTTGGCTCCACTTTGGCTGTAAGAAGACCACAAATGTCTCACGGCTTATGTGCTCCAGCTTCTCTGGTTTGCATACACAGTGAAGAGTCGACCGTAGCTTCCCTTTGGACAGAATATCAGCAGATTCTCCAATTTGGACTATAAAACTGTCTTGTGGAGTCTTGACCATGTAGAACTTGTTCTTGCTGGGATGATAGATCTGGAGATAAGAGTGTCTGCTCATCAAAGAGCAATCCTGGTAGGAGTACGAGGATAGAAACATAGGATCCGTGAGAAGAGTAAAGATGCCATAATCGTAATGCCACTGTTGCCACAGGTTGAAGTGACTCCCACTCAAACCATCCCCATTTCTACGGTTCACCTCTTGTTGCTCAGCAGCATTATGGACTCTTGTCTTGCTTGATACTCGTTTACCAGATTGGTTGCTCCTCTCGGCTTCTCTGAGAGCACGTTTATCAGCAGCAGAGTGGTAATGTATAAGGCGTGCCTTTGCTGTGCAAGACTCCAGTAAACTATCCTCCAGGAAGCCTCCACCAATCTCCCTGTCGCATATACGAGCAATGGACAAGCCTAATTCCCTCATACAAAAACCTAGTCCCTTAAAGGCAGCGCCAAGATTTGTGAACTCATCATCATCGCCCTCCTCCTTCAAATCGAGTGTAGGGCTAGCCTCGTGGAACCACAGCTTCCCCTGTGAAGATTTAGAAGTGCGTTCAAAATTGAGCTGCATTGCAAAAGAAGAGACGTCTCGTAGTGGATTCTTGAGAGAAACGTCGCTACCCAAGTGGTGCTCCTTAAGGCAGCAAGGATGAACGAACACGCAGAATCAGTATCACTGATGAAGCAACTAAACAGTTGACGGATACAAGCTACTTGGATTAATGGAAATCTGAATATTAAGGTTGGGCATTACCTTCAGAATGCGGATCCGTTTGTCCGGAACGAGAAGAGCCAGCTTCCGAGCCATAGGGAGGAGTTGACGGCGCAGAAGGGCGGAGCCAAGAACGCCGGTGATACAAAGCAGGCCTGGACCGGAGGGGCCAAGAGCTGACATCACGTTTCTCGAGATGCATTGACAGCGTTTACGGTCTCTCGGAGAAGAAGATTGAAAGCGAGAGGACCAAAGAAGAAGATCCGACAAGGACAGTTGATAGGGTTCGAGAATCTCTGTCTCTGCCATTTCCCTTTCAGTGTGGTCCTTCCTTCTTCTTTCTTTCCCCCTCTCTCTCTTTTTTTTTGATCCCACTAACGCAAAAGCCCAACACGGCCCAAAACAAAAGTCCAACAATCAGTTACTTAACATACCGCTTTTTAGGCAAGTGGGAATCGGATAACATGATGTCAAGCTGGGCCTTAGAATAAATCGAGATGGGCCTTATGCGGCAAATTAGTTTCTATATGGATAGCCCAGTGGAGGAGTCCAGAAAGCAAGCTTTCGACGTCTTAATTCCCAATTTACCCACTGGACTGGAGTGGCCACCTCCTCCATTGAATTTCGAACTGTTTCTCTCCCCGATGGCTCCTCCGGTGGGGAAGACGAAGAAGAAGAAGAAGAAGAAGAAGAAGACGGAGAAACCTTTGGATAAGGACCTTAAGGAGAAGAAGAAGAGAATCAACGCAGTTCCTTTGGACCCTGAGGCTATTGACTGCGACTGGTGGGATACTTTCTCGCACCGAAACTCTTCTCTCTCAGGTTTTCTCCCTTCTTACTTTTCAGATCTGATCCTCCGAAATAATTTGTGTTTTTTTTCTTCGAGTAGATTTGTCCCTGTTTCATAGATTCTCTCCGATTTGATTTTTGATTTTGTAGACAACTCTTAGATTGCAGCTTTTTTTTTTTTTAACAGTCCCGTCAGACGAAGATGATGCCTTTAAGCACTTCTTTAGGGCTTCTAAGACCACCTTTAGCTACATATGCTCGCTCGTCAGGGAGGATCTTATCTCTAGACCTCCCTCTGGCCTCATCAACATCGAGGGTAGGCTTCTTAGCGTTGAGAAACAAGTCGCCATTGCTCTTCGACGCTTAGCTTCTGGTGATTCTCAGGTCTCCGTCGGAGCTGCCTTTGGTGTTGGCCAGTCCACTGTTTCCCAGGTTCCTAAATCAACAAGATACTCCCACCTCAGCTCCCTTTATTCATTCACATTTTGCTTCCTGGCTGCTTTATTTTTTTTTCAGGTTACTTGGAGATTCATCGAGGCACTTGAGGAACGCGCCAAGCATCATCTCCGCTGGCCAGATTCTGACAGAATTGAAGAGATCAAGTCTAAGTTCGAGGATATGTACGGCCTCCCCAATTGTTGCGGAGCCATTGATACAACCCACATCATCATGACTCTCCCGGCTGTGCAAGCCTCAGACGACTGGTGTGACCACGAGAAGAACTACAGCATGTTCTTACAAGGAGTCTTTGATCACGAAATGAGATTTCTCAACATGGTTACCGGCTGGCCAGGCGGCATGACCGTCTCCAAGCTTCTCAAGTTCTCTGGCTTCTTCAAACTCTGTGAAACCGGTCAGATTTTAGACGGAAATGTCAAAACTTTGTATGAAGGAGCACAAGTTAGAGAATATGTAGTTGGAGGGATCAGTTACCCGCTTCTTCCTTGGCTTATAACTCCTCACGACAGCGATGATCCCTCTGGTTCCATGATGGCGTTCAACGACAGGCATGAGAAAATGAGGTCAGTGGCAGCTACCGCCTTTGCACACCTTAAAGGAAGCTGGAGGATCCTCAGCAAGGTTATGTGGAGACCAGACAGGAGGAAACTGCCGAGTATAATACTGGTGTGTTGTTTGTTGCATAACATCATAATCGACTGTGGAGATTATCTGCAAGAGGATGTTCCTTTTTCTGGTCATCATGACACAGGCTACGCAGACCGGCTCTGCAAGCAGACTGAGCCGCTTGGTGGTGAGCTCAGAGGATATCTGACTGAGTATTTGCTGAGGGGAGGATCCTAAACCCTGGGGTATTTTGTCTATTTGACATCGTCATCTCTTCTCAAAGGCCGTACTAAACCCGTTGAACCGTTCATCGTCAGTTTACTGGTAGACTTCGAAATATCCGACAGAAGAATGTAATGAAACTTTTCTTCAATACCGGATCAACAGCATGCTCTATTAAGATATTGCCAATTGGGCTTATGTAGAATCGACTACTCAGTTTGAGAGGTGACGATAATATCCCAAAAAAGAATTGTTTTTGCCAATGTATATATATTGTTATGTTGTTTTTTATATTTGGTGTTTTTTTATAGAATAGTTTTGAGTGGTTGGGTTCCCATTATATATTAGATATTATTCTCTGCGTTGAAAAATTGAGTGATTCAAAATTCAACAGAAAAAAATAAAAAAGGTATATGCTGGTGGATGCGTCTTGGTTTTGGTTCTTTGTGCTAACAAGTAACGACGACGGACGAAGATTCCCAACAAATTCACATGGCAAAAAAATTAAAACTATAAACTAAAAAGAGATACGTAATCAATAAATAACGAAAACATAAAATTCGATACAAATCTTGGAGAGAATGGTGATGCGGTTATGAAAGTGGACATTTGTGTTTCGATAGACTGCGTCATGAACAAAAAGAGTTGCATATTTCTTGATGTATACTAAAAAATATTAGAATGTAGAAGTCTAATAGCATCTCCAACCCACCTCTATTTCTTTCTCTAAACTCTATTTTATAGCAAATTTTGCTCCAACCCACCTCTATATCCACCTCTATTATAGAGATTGCTATTTTTATCTCTATATATAGAGGAACTCTATTTTTTCCTCTATATTTTATTGCAAAGTAGTCCTTTTAATCTTAAACTTTTTTTTATTTATGAACAATAAACAAAGAAATATATTTAATAACTAATAATATAAAATATTTTAGAAGTTTTAATTTAAATATATATTCTAAAATTTGAGACTACCATTTGAAAAAGTAAATTATATAAAATCTTATAAATATATATAATAATAGATTTTATTTTTATTGAAGGAGAAAAGAGATTTTATTTTACCTTATTATATATAATAATAGAATTTAGTATCTTATTGTTTTTTTATATAATGCGATGTACTTTTAAATAAAAATATATATAATATGATGTTTTATAATAAATGTTTAATTTAAATAAAAGAAACTATTTTATTAAAATTTTATAAAAGTTAAAGTAAATGAGTAAATTTGCAACTTTTATAAATAGATTGTGTTAATATTAAAATTTTAAAAGAATCTATTTAGAATATTCTATTATAGAGAACAAAGTAGAGGAAACCACTAGAGCAAAAGTCACCTCTATTATAGAGGCAAAAATAGCAAAAACCATTGGAGATGGTATAAGTGTAGTAATTTTTACTAAGAAAATTAAAATTGGTAATCACTAATCAGCTTTGAAAAATGAAAAAAGAGTAATTTAATTGGAACTCTTAAAAATAATCAGTTTGGGAATCCGGAAGTATAGCAGTTTATTAACAGATTGAGATATCTGTTCCGCATTCTACGGCAGCAACAAGATTATTATTGTTGCACAAGTTAAGGAATTGTGATTCGATGTAGATATTGTTTGTAACTCTATTTAACCTCTGTAATCTTCTCATTTGAAAGATATCGAAAACACTTTCTCTTCATTGCAGTCTCTGAATCTTTATGGTATCAGAGCCAAACTCTTAATTTTGTTTAAGAAAAACAGAGAAACTGATTCTCTGTGATGGCAAGCGACGGATCAATTCCACCAACGAACCCGAACCCGGCGAACCCGAACACGAACACGAACCAGACCACTATGGAAACCCGAAGAACCATCTCTCCCTATGACTTGTCAGCGGCTGACAATCCTGGAGCAGTGATCTCGCATCCACTACTTATGGGAACAAATTACGACGAATGGGCGTGTGGCATCAAGACGGCATTGTGCTCTCGAAAAAAATTTGGTTTTCTCGATGGCACTATCGCAAGACCTGAAGAAGGATCTCCTGACTTGGAAGATTGGTGGACCATCCAGGCACTCCTTGTCTCCTGGATCAAGATGTCAATTGACCCACCACTACGCTCAAATATCACTCACCGCGATGTTGCCAAAGACTTGTGGGATCATCTGAAGAAGAGATTCTCTGTCACAAATGGACCGAGAATTCAACAAATCAAGGCAGAGCTAGCTTGTTGCAGACAAAGAGGTTTGGCCATTGAAACCTACTTTGGAAAGCTAACTCGCATCTGGGATAGCATGGCTAACCATCGTCCGTTGAGGCTGTGCAAATGTGGGAAGTGTGTGTGTGATCTCGGAACGCTTCAGGAAAAGGACCGAGAAGAGGACAAGGTACATGAATTCTTGTTCAGACTTGATGATTCCGTCTTTCGCACTGTGAGATCGAGTCTTGTTTCAAGAACTCCAATTCAGCCTTTGGAGGAAGTTTACAACATAGTGCGACAAGAGGAGGATTTGGTGAGAAACGGGACACAAAGAGCTGAAGAAAATTCAGAAGTGAGTGCTTTTGCTGTCCAAACCACACCACAGGTCAGAAGAGAAGAGAACAAAACAGTGACTTGTAAACATTGTAATCGATCGGGTCATTCAAGTGATAGCTGCTATGGAGTAATAGGCTATCCAGAGTGGTGGGGAGACAGACCGAGAACCCGTACAAGTGCCGGACGGGGACGCGGACGTGGAGCATATGTAGCTGGAAGAGGACGTGGGAGTACTTCCTACGCCAATGCTGTACATGTCAACGAACCAGTTGGTGAACAAGCTAACTACGTGGTGACGGACAAGGATAGAGATGGAGTGAGCGGTCTAAGTGATTCACAGTGGAGAGCAGTCAAGACTCTACTTAATGGTGGAAAAGTTCACGAAACCGAAAAACTAACGGGTACGTCTTCTTTACATTTCTGGATAATGGATACAGGGGCCTCACATCATTTAACGGGAAACCTCGATATCCTAATGGATGTTAGGGAGATGCAACCAGTTGGGATTGTGTTAGCTGATGGTAGAGAAAGAGTGGCTGTTAAAGAAGGGACTGTAAGGCTAGGGCCTAATTTGATACTTCGTTCAGTGTATTATGTTGAAGATTTTCAAACCAATTTGATCTCTCTTTGCCAATTGATGGATGAGAATCATTGCGTAGTGCAGTTAGCTGATCAGTTCCTTGTTGTTCAGGACCGTACTTCGAGGATGGTGATTGGAGTTAGTAGGCGTATGGGAGGGACCTTCCACTTTCGAAGTATGGAGTCTGCAGCATCTGTGGTGGTTAGAGAAGAGAAGTCCTTTGATCTCTGGCACAAGCGGATGGGGCATCCTTCTGCAAGAGTAGTTGGTCTTCTTCCTGTTGTTTCCAATGTTGTTTCTTCTGAAATTTCGAATAAAGCGTGCGATGTTTGTCTCCGCGCTAAGCAAACTCGATTGTCTTTTCCAATCAGTGAGAATAAAACAATTGGGATTTTTGATATGATTCATTGTGATTTATGGGGTCCCTATAGAACTCCAACTCATTCTGGTGCTCGCTACTTCTTAACAATAGTTGATGATTACTCACGAGGAGTATGGCTTTACTTAATGTCTGAAAAATCAGAAGCTCCTACTCATCTTAAAGCCTTCTTAGCAATGGTCACACGACAGTTTAAGACTCCGGTTCGTGTGATAAGAAGTGACAACGGAACTGAGTTTCTTTGTCTAAGAGAGTTTTTCACGCAACAAGGAATAGTTCATGAGACGTCTTGTGTGGGAACACCTCAACAGAATGGGAGGGTTGAGCGTAAGCACAGACACATTCTCAATGTTGCTAGAGCACTACGGTTTCAAGCAAATTTGCCAATTGAGTTTTGGGGTGAATGCGTTTTAACAGCGGCTTATCTCATTAATCGAACGCCAAGTATGGTGTTACAAGGACTAACACCTTACGAACGACTGTATAATGAGAAACCTGTTTATGAACATGTCAAGGTGTTTGGAAGTCTCTGTTACGCTCATGATCAGTTTCATAAGGGGGATAAATTTGCATCTCGAAGCAGAAAATGTGTGTTTATTGGATACCCCTATGGAAAGAAGGGTTGGAGATTATACGATTTAGAGAAGGATCAGTTCTTTGTATCAAGAGATGTCGTTTTTGTTGAAAATGAGTTTCCATATAATTATGGGAAAGAAGAAAAAATTACATGAGAAGAGGATCATGTTTTTAATCTTCACAGTCTGTTTGTCGATCAAGAAGATGAAGAAAGAAGGTTGGGTTTGTTTAATGGATCGGGTCCATCTGTAGCTACAGTGACATCTGTTGGGCCTACTTCAAGCCCAAATCTGAATGTTGAGACACCAACTTCACGACAGAACGATGTCGTACAAAGAAATGAAGCAAATGTTGATTCATCGTTAAGCTCACCTGCTGAACCTGTTCCGCCGCCGCCGACGACGCCACCAACTCCGACGCCAACACCGATTCCGGCAGTGAGAGTACCAGTAGTTCCGCCGAGTTGTGATGCTGAATTAGGTCGAGGCAAGCGCCACAAAACGCAATCCGTCAAGCTCAAGCAGTTTGTGGTTGATACGGGAAAACACAAATCGGGGAGTTCGAAATCTTCCTCAACTTCGAGCTATCCGATTGCCAATTATGTGGATTGTGAACGTTTCTCTCCTCAACATCAAGCATACTTAGCTGCAATAACATCTGGAGTTGAGCCCAAATCGTTTAAAGAAGCAACGAAGGATGATAAATGGAACAATGCGATGTCTTCTGAAATTGATGCTCAAGAAAGGAACCATTCATGGGATATAGGAGATTTGCCAAAGGGGAAGAAGGCAATTGGCTGCAAATGGGTATCCAAACTCAAGTATAAATCAGATGGTACTCTAGAGAGACACAAAGCGAGGTTAGTTGCTCTTGGTAACAAACAAGTTGAAGGTGTGGACTACGGTGAAACATTCGCTCCTGTTGCGAAAATGGGGACTGTGCGGTTGTTTTTGGATACTGCGGTGAAGAATCAGTGGGACATTCACCAAATGGATGTATACAATGCTTTTCTCCATGGTGACTTAGAAGAGGAAATATATATGAGGTTACCACCTGGTTTTAAAGCTTCTGATCCTAATAAGGTCTGTAGACTTCGAAAATCAATTTATGGACTAAAGCAAAGTCCACGTTGTTGGTTCTCCAAGCTGTCGACGAGTCTGAAGGAGTATGGTTTTGAACAAAGCAAGTTAGATTATTCGCTGTTCACGCTGGACAGAAATGGTGCTCAGCTTCATGTCTTAGTGTATGTAGATGACTTGGTGATCAGTGGTAGCACTCCGGAGATAATGGCTGAGTTCAAAGTCTATCTTTCAACATGTTTCGATATGAAAGATTTGGGTCCTTTAAAGTATTTTCTGGGAATTGAAGTGGCTAGGAATTCAAAGGGTATGTATCTTTGTCAAAGGAAATATGCTCTAGATATTGTTTCTGATACAGGCTTGTTGGGAGCGAAACCTGTGGCTTTTCCTCTAGAAACGAATCATCAATTGGCGCTCTCGGAGTCACCACTGTTAGAGAGTCCGGAACCTTATCGTCGTTTAATTGGAAGGTTGATATACTTGGCAGTAACAAGACCGGATTTGGCCTATTGTGTTCATATTTTGGCCCAGTTTATGCAAAAACCACGAGAGGATCATTGGGCTGCGGCTTTACGAGCAGTACGCTACTTGAAAAATAGTCATGGCCAAGGTATTTTGTTACGTGCCGATACACCTTTTCAAATCACTGGTTGGTGTGATAGTGATTATGCTAGTTGTCCCATGTCAAGGAGGTCGGTTACTGGTTATTTCATTCAGCTTGGCGGGTCACCGATATCATGGAAAACCGAGAAACAAAAGACGGTTAGTCGGTCATCTGCAGAAGCAGAATACAGAGCTAGCATTTCTGACACAAGAGTTGATTTGGCTTAAAAGGATTCTTGCAACACTCGGCATTCAACATGTTCAGTCCATGGATGTTTGTTGTGATAGCAAGGCAGCGATACATATAGCAACAAACCCAGTTTTTCATGAACGTACGAAGCATGTGGAGGTTGATTGTCATTTTGTTCGTGACGAAGTCTTGAGCAAGAATATATGTCTGGTTCATGTTCAAAGTCATAAACAACTTGCTGATATTTTTACAAAGCCATTGGGAACGCAAGAGTATGATCAGTTCTGTATCAAGTTGGGCATACAAGACTTGCACGCTCCAACTTGAGGGAGGGTATTAACAGATTGAGATATTTGTTCTGCATTCTACGGCAACAACAAGATTATTATTGTTGCACAAGTTAAGGAATTGTGATTCGATATAGATATTGTTTGTAACTCTATTTAACCTCTGTAATCTTCTCATTTGAAAGATATCGAAAACACTTTCTCTTCATTGCAGTCTCTGAATCTTTACAGTTAGAAGAAGATGGTGAAAATCGAATGGGGGCAAAAAGGTAAGGAAACCAAAGACAAGACAAGAGCTCTCTATGTGTGTGTTTGTCAAAAGGGCAAGCTAGGAATGATAGATTGGGGAGAGTTGGCCGGTGAAACTGTCAAAAGGACATACATACATAAGAAGAAGAAGAAGAAGATTTGGTCTCTCTCTCTCTCAAAACAATTAAAGAGAGTGAGTAACTCTAATTAGTGGAGACCACCATTACCTCTTTCTTCAATCAGTCTCTCTACAATTCTACACTTCTTGTTTGCTTCTTTCTTTCTTCTCTTATTCATCTCTTTGACGATTTTTTTTCTTCTCCTTCCTCTCTCTCTCTCTCTCTCTCTCTCTCTCTCTCTCTCTCTCTCTCCACCACAAGTTTTGGAATTCTCAAAGAAAGAAAGAGAGAGAAAAAAAGACATCGGCTTTGTCCTCAACTCACCACTGATTGAAGGAAGAGCTTATTAATTAATATCCTCCCTTTCTTCATCTGGGTTTTGGATCGCGAGTTTTGGATTATTATTGGTGGCAAAATGTCCTCTGGCGGCGGAGAGGCGGATAAATCACTAGGAATCGGGTCGGATCCCAAATTAGGCGGCGTAGGGAGCAGAAGCGCCGGGGAAGAACGATACTTCAGGGCGGATACTCTTGACTTGAGTAAATGGGATTTGCATATGGGTCAAACCTCTAGTAGCAGCAGCGTCGTCGTCTCCAAGTCCGATTCCACCAGACCTCCCGCGATGCAGGAGTGGGAGATTGACCTCTCCAAACTCGATATGAAGCACGTCCTCGCTCACGGCACTTATGGCACTGTCTACCGCGGTGTCTACGCCGGCCAAGAAGTCGCTGGTCCGTCTCTTTTTCCCCATTCATATTCTCAGATACTGCCTGCTTCCTTTAGTTTTTTTTTTTTTGGTTTCCCTTAAATCTCTGATTATCTCTTTTGATCACTCTCCTCTGCAGTCAAAGTGTTAGATTGGGGTGAAGATGGTTACGCCACTGCCGCTGAAACCACAACTCTCCGTGCTTCCTTCGAGCAAGAGGTCGCCGTCTGGCAGAAGCTCGATCACCCCAACGTTACAAAGGTACAACCACCCACCTTTCAACACCCACGTTGTTTCTTCTAACCCTCTCTCTCTCGCAGTTTATAGGAGCCTCCATGGGAACCTCCGATCTGAGGGTCCCTCCTGCTGGTGATTCTGGCGGACGTGGTAACGGTGGTGCTCATCCTGCGAGGGCCTGTTGTGTTGTGGTTGAATATGTTGCCGGAGGCACTCTGAAGAAGTTCCTCATCAAGAAATATAGGGCCAAACTACCCATCAAGGATGTCATCCAGCTCGCTTTGGATCTCGCAAGAGGGTATATCTCCTCTGCTTGTTTGTTTGTTTCTTTAAACGCCTCATGTTTGCATTCTTCCATTTATCTCAAGAAACAAGGACACAAAGATGCATCCTTTATCAGCAATGCTCTTCCTTTTTTTGTTCCCAGGTTGAGTTACCTCCACTCCAAGGCGATTGTACATCGGGACGTGAAGACAGAGAACATGCTGTTACAACCTAACAAGACGCTGAAGATCGCTGATTTCGGGGTAGCTAGAGTTGAAGCTCAGAACCCTCAAGATATGACGGGTGAAACTGGAACACTTGGATACATGGCACCAGAGGTATGTCCTTGTGTACCTACTTTCCTGTAGAGCCTACGGGAAAAACTAAGAGGTTAGCTTATGGTGGTGCATAGGTTCTTGAAGGAAAGCCTTACAACAGAAAATGCGATGTCTATAGCTTTGGTGTATGCCTCTGGGAAATATACTGTTGCGACATGCCCTACGCTGACTGTAGTTTTGCTGAGATCTCTCATGCCGTCGTTCATAAGGTTCATCTCAACCTCTCTTTACAACCTCACCTATGTATATGTTAAAGGCTAATTAGGATATGTAATCACCTCACTGTTTGGTTGTTGTATCTCGCTCAGAATCTGAGACCAGAGATTCCCAAATGCTGCCCAAATTCGGTGGCAGCGATCATGAAGAGATGTTGGGACCCGAATCCAGACAAGCGTCCGGAGATGGAGGAGGTGGTGAAACTGCTTGAAGGCGTGGACACAAGCAAAGGCGGTGGAATGATAGCTCCAGACCAGTTTCAGGGGTGCCTCTGTTTCTTCAAACCTCGTGGCCCCTGATCTTGTCTTGCTTTTGTCTGATATTCTTGAGAGCTGCGTGATTCTTTGGATTTTGTAACTTTGAGACTTGGAAGTTGGACTGGTGTGCTTTTTTGGTCACAAGAATATCTCTTGTTCTTTTCTTTTTCCTGCTCGTTCATGTAATTTATACTACACACAGTCGTCGTGTAAATCGATAAAGCTTGAGTATTTTTGGGTTGTCATATCTCCTCTCTCTCTCTCTCTCTTGATTCGAATGCGATCTGTAACAACTAACAAGAGTAGGCAGCCAAAGGGTCTGTCTGGTCGTCATTAAAACAGAAAAAGGTCTACAAAATATGTAACGCCTGTAATAACAAATAAAAAAGTAGTAGTTACTATTTAGTAGTCAGATTTGTTCACACTTGGTTTGGTTGGTTGGTTGGTTTGTTTGTTTGTCTGAGTTTTGCCATTTCTCTCGCATCTCACACACAGTAGACGCCGGGATCAGTGGTTGAGAGAAGATGACGGGAAGCTCTAAGGCGTCGTTTTGCTCGATGAAAGATTTCCTGAAGCAGACAGGCGGGTTTGCGGTGATAGACGGCGGGCTTGCAACGGAGTTCGAGAGACATGGAGCAGATCTCAACGATCCTCTCTGGAGCGCCAAATGCCTTGTCACTTCTCCTCACCTCATTCACTCCGTAAATCCCTTTTGCTTTTTCTTGTCCGTTAAATCTGAAATCCAACAAAAAAGCTTTCTCTCTGTGTGTGTGGTTCTATCCCTAGATTTAGATTACACTAAAATGTCACATGCGTATCCAAAAGTGCGATTGATTATCCGAATCAAAGTAAATCATTCTCATTTCTTATCAAGCAGAAGCAGCCCAGTGAGATGTATGTTTAAAGCTGTCAACTTTTGTGAACCCTAAACCCTTTTGGTAGTTGTTACTGTTCATATTTCTCCATTGTCTGGGATTTTTTCTCATTTTCCATTTCCTGAGTCTAGGGGGGCTTTTTCTTTCCATGATCTCTCTTTTTTTTTTTTTTGCTAGCCTTATCCAATTCACCCTTTCAATTAGGTTTACATGGCTGAATGGATTATAGCTTACTTAGCTGCTTGTTTTTCTTGATGGAGCAGGTGCACCTTGATTACCTTGAAGCTGGTGCTGATATCATCTCCAGCTCTTCTTATCAGGTTCTTTGTCCCCCTCTCTCTCTCTCTCTCTCTCCCCCATCTTCTTCTTACTATCTCTCTTTGTTTATCCATCTCCTTTCTGGACACTAAAAAAATGTGGATTGATTGTAACTCAACTCTTAACAGGCCACGATTCAGGGGTTTCAAGCCAAGGGCTTTTCAATAGAGGAAAGTGAATCTTTGCTTACAAAGAGCGTGGAAATAGCTTGTGAGGCTCGGAACACGTATTATGACAAATGTGGTACTAGCTCCTCCATGGATGATATCATTCTTAAAAAGCGGCCTATATTAGTTGCAGCATCAGTAGGTAGCTATGGCGCATACTTGGCTGATGGATCAGAATACAGGTTATTACTGCCTTTTATCTGTGTTTGATATGAGTTTGGGTTGGAGCTAGTTTCAAAAGCTCCTTTATCACTTACCCCTTTTCAGATTTGATTTTTGCTTTCTGTGGATTTCATATACTCCTCCTGCATTATCTCCTTAAATCTACCTATTAACTTTTGGTGGTTCTGTTACTCTATCAGTGGAATCTATGGTGATTCGATCACGCTGGAGAAACTGAAGGATTTTCACCGCAGACGAGTCCAAGTTCTGGCGGAATCTGGTGCTGATTTAATAGCATTTGAGACCATTCCAAACAAGATAGAGGCTCAGGTACTGATGGTTCCTCAGCATCATGACAGTTGACATGTTGTAGTAGGTTTATCCTTGCATATTCGAGCGTTCCACTAGTGATGCATGTTGTTAAGCTGCTGGTGGGTGTTAAGCATGGGTTTTGTTTCTGTGATATGCAAGGCATTTGCTGAGCTGTTAGAGGAGGGAGATGTGAAGATTCCTGGGTGGTTTTCATTCAACTCAAAGGATGGCGTAAATGTGGTTAGCGGGGATTCCATCAAGGAATGTATCGCCATAGCTGAATCTTGTGAGAAAGTAGTGGCGGTTGGAATCAACTGTACTCCTCCAAGATTCATAGAGGGGCTAGTTAATGAGATAGAAAAGGTGCGGCTTGGATCCACACTCATTAGGTATTTGTATTTTTTTATTTGTAGAGACACTAAAAGGTTTGCATAACTTGTAGGTGACAAGCAAGCCCATACTAGTGTACCCAAACAGTGGAGAGAGCTATGATGCTGAACGGAAGGAGTGGGTTGTAAGTCATATATATCCGAGCAAAGTGCAGATAACAAACACAAAAACACAGAGATCTCTGAGTTGCTAAAAAAAAACTTTTGCAGGAAAACACAGGAGTTGGGGATGAAGACTTTGTATCATACGTGGAGAAATGGATGGATGCAGGAGTGTCTCTCCTGGGAGGTTGCTGCCGCACAACACCAACCACCATCAGAGCCATCCACAAGAGACTTGTCAACCGCAGATCTCATTAGCTCTCAACTTGACTCTCTTCGATGAATCTCTCTGGACCTTGGCAATAGATTTTGTAACCAAACAATTGTTTCCCTTATCCATTTAAAAAAAAAAAAAAGAAGTTAAAAATTACTAAAGCCTTGGCTGTAGGTACGTGCTCCTCCTACTAATGTCTCATGTTCCTCTGACGAAGGGACTGATTCTCATCTATCATTAGAAAGATTAATAGCGCTTTGTTTTGAGATTTATTACTAAAAAAGATCATTGTGACTTGTGAGTAGCTTTCTTTTGATCTGTTAAGTTAAAAAAAAATAAAAAACAATGGCTCTGGTAATTTTGATGGAAAGAGAGGGTAGAGATTAAAGGGCTTTTAATGTTCAAAAGGATAGAAAGAGTACACTGCCCACTGTTTCATTTTTGTTGCAGGGAGCGTACGGCTGTGGGAATTATGAGACTTTGATGAGTATGACCAACACATTTCATTTTATCTTGATGTGTGTGTGTGTGTGTGATCGTCTGGATTAAATATGTTTTGAAATAATACTAGCAAATGCCGAAAGAAGATGAAAAAAACGATAACATCATCCTTTTTTTTTTTTAACTTTTTACTCCAAATAATAATCTCCATTGTCCATGTTGATGAAAGTGATGTTTTTAACATACAAAGGACCTCTTTCTTCTTCTCCAAAGTTAAAAAAAAAAAAAAAGGAAGAAAAAGCTTTCACATCAACCCATTCTTCCTTCCAACTTTAATTCCCCCCCCCCCCCCCTCCTAACTCGGATAAAAAAAAACCTGTAAACGTGTTAGTTCGTGTTCCTCGTCGCATCTATCATCATCACATTGTAGTTTCTTTCTTTTGCATAGACCCATATTATTAACTCAGACTCAGTATATATGTTCGACAGAGTTGCATATACATGTTTTTCGGGAAACTTGTATACTGCTGTATCCAAAAAAAAAAAAAACAGAAAGTTTTCAGGAAGAACAAAATCAGTCCATAATTTGGGAGATAAAGTATAATAATAACCCAAAAACAGGCTAACCAAAACATTCTTTAATGTTGTTGTTGTTTCTAGGTGTTATCATGAATCTTTTATAATCTACATGTGCCGGATATTGCTAGTTATACAAAGTCGCCTTCATTAACAGATTTTATTATTACTACTCTGTATTCATCAATACTAGTATTTGATTTTTTTTTAGTTATATACAAAGATAATTATAACAACAGAGAGAACACAGAAAGATATATTTTCTCAGTTTAATAAGATAATTCTAAGTTGGTTCGTATTTCAGGCAGGTATCTTTAATTGCAATGTTCGACCCATTCTTAATTGCTGGATGTGTGTTGACGTGACAGAATGATAAACAATTTGTATTACCATTAAGTTCTTTATTAGGGAACCCTTTAACTAATCAGTACGTTTCTCTCTAATTAGAGAGAGAGAGAGAGAGAGAGAGAGAGAGAGGAGTCGTAAGCCTAATTATTTTTTCAAGTACTACAGAATTTACAACTGGCACTGTGGCACAGCGTTTTATAAATCCTTTTTAATTGCAAACAGAAATGGCTGTTCAAGTGTACAAATGTGTGTATAATGATGTATATGACTATATGTATATGCTACATTTTATTAATTTTTTAAAAAATAAAAATAAGAAAAAATGAATGAAGGAAAGATTACTAATTAAATAAATGACTAAACCTCAAAGTATAGTTGGTCTGCTGAACAAACAGACACGGTCTCCCACATGCAGCATGTGTACATTTTAACTTTACCTTACAAAAAAAAACTAAAGTACTACTCCCTAGTTACTAGTTAGTGGTATATTGCATAATTTCACCAAAACAATTAGTATACTCAACTCAATGCATGGCATGGTGTCTTAAAAGTGCAAAAAACAAAACTCGGTTTTATAATCATAGAAAATTGGGTTTAGATGAATAGCAAAATCCGAGAGAGCATTGGTCCCCGTAAGTAAGTTAACCCTACAAGATCCTATCTTCTTCTTTTTTTTTTTTCTTTTTAATGTTTAGAAAATTAAAGAAAAGTTATTAGCTCATCATCATAGATTTATTAATTTCGTATAAGCATATCAATACTAAAACCTTTGTGTCTTGTGTTAATATATTTTTTGATGGGTCGAGTGTACTCAAACCGTAAAGACACAGTGATATATTAAACCGATCTTAATGTAATCGTTCGTATAATTTATAAAGGATCAAATGTCACTCATACATAGGGGATATATAAAGATTGTATGTCAAATCACGACATGAATGAAGGGATATAAGATTGTAATCTTGCGTGAGGGGTATTTATTAATTATACATTTGAATGGAAAGGAAAAAAAAAAATGTAGATCGAAGAGGAGGACGAGGCAAAGAAAAAAATATGGTCCATGACTTTCTATGATAAGAAAATAATATGTATGTGAATTCACAAGTGACATACAGTATGTTGTTGTTGTTGTTGTCTCCAGAAACCTCAAAATTCACCCTTTAAACATGCATCTAAACCTTGGCTCACCAATCCACTCTCTCTCGTCTTTTTGTTTTCAATATAGCTAGTGTCTATATATTTATATACTACAGAGTTCTCCTATAATAATAATTAAAAAAAAAAAGAAATTGGTGGCGACATATCCCCAAGAATAGAGAGATATCGGTTTTTGTCTGTTGCCAATTGCCAAATCCGGGATTTGTATTTGGAGATGCATCATATTATGGAAATGGAATAAATCAAAAAGTTATAATGGAGTAATGCTTAGTGAATTACCAACAAAAAAAAAAAAAAAAAGCCAATGTTAGTAGTATTTTTTTTAATGGGAAGAGATATTAGAATAATGATGTATAGGTCCAAAAAAGGTTCAAAGAGAGAAAGAGATGAAAACAAAGTTTAAGGGAAACTACAATAGTGCAAGGGAATGCAGCAGAGCAAAGCAACTAAAAGCAGAGTTTTTTTTTTTAAAACCGGGGGGGTGGATCTGTCTGTAATTGAGATTGAGAGAAAGTTACCCAACCGGTTTTAAAATCGGAGTTAAAAAGACTTTTAAGAGTAATGCAAAAATACATTTGTTTCCTTTTTCCTAATAACCGGGTTGGGCCCACAAAATTTGTATAAGATAGCAGAAGAAAGAAAGAAAGAAGAAGCTGACGACTCTGGAGAGAAAGAGAGAGAGAGAGAGAATAATTCGTTCGTATGGCAGTTTCTTGATCCCCCCCTCCCTCCTTCCCTTCCCTTCCTTCTTCTTTACAAAGACAGACACAGAGAGAGAGAATACGGGAGGGATACACTTCAGAAATCAAGAAGGTAGAAGAAGAGCAAAATCCGGGTCGTACCCGAATATCCATCTCAATCCAACCCGGATTCCAAAGTCGTTGTCTTTCTTTTGCCCCTCCCCTCTCCCCTTCCCTTCCCTTCTTGGATTTTGGCCTCAAAGAAAGAAAGAGAGAGAATACAAACAAACAAACAAACAAACCAACCAACCAACCAACTTCTCTCTTTGCTCTGTGCCCAGAAACGAGGCTCCTTGTTTCTCTGCCTACACAAACACTTAGCCCTTCCCCTAACCAATTTATCTCCCCCTCTCTGTTTTATTCTTCAACAAGTGCTCTCTCACATTGTCCTCTTCTCCTCTCTCTCTCCTTTCATCTGCCTAGGGCTTCTGCCTTGTGCTCTCCTTATCTATATATATATCTACGTTTTGCTTGAGATTTGATTTTTCAATCTCTCTCTCTCTCTCTCTTGTATGAAGCTTAAGATCAACAATGGGTGATGGTAGCCTCAAGAAAAGCAAGGTTTTTGTTTCTCTCTCTCTCTCTCTCCTTCCTTAATTTTCTCTGTGTTGACTATGTGTTGGATGATCTCCTCTAAATCTTTTGTTTATGGCAGCTTTCATGGCCCAAAACATTGGTCAAGAAATGGCTAAACATCAAGAGCAAATCAGAAGAGTTTCACGCAGACGACTTGTTGGACAGAGGTAACTTTATAAACTCCTCAACAAGACATGTTTGCTTAGGAATTGCTAGGCTTTATATACTAGTGTAGTAGAGTTTTAGTTTTCTTTTTTTTCCTTTGAAAATAGTACAAGTATGTCTTTCTTTCCAGCTTCCAGGAATTTAATTGTGGTGAGAATGAGAGAGAAGCACAGCTTTAACAAAAGTTTTTATCTCATCTCTGTTTTATATATAAATAAAGAAATTTAAAAAAGATGATTATGAACTTTTTTTTTTTTTTTTTTTGGCAGGTGAAGGTGGAGATAGGAGGAACAATGTCATTGAAAGAGAGGAAGCATGCTCTGTCAAGAAAAGCAAAACTGGTCAGTCTCTGTAATCCCCACTCTCAAAATTGCTCTTCTCTATGTGTTTTTTTATTTTTATTTATTTCTTGTTTATTAAAGAAAGGAATTGTTTCTCTTTTTGCAGAGACTCCGACCAAAAGAAATAGCGCAAGAGCCCGACGAAACAAAAATGATTTCGATCCACCCCTTGATAATCTTCGGTATATATATATGTGTAAAACCTTTATATGTATCTGTTTGTTTGGTAACCTTTTTTTATTATAGAAAAAATAATATTATCTTAACAACTCTCTCACTCGTTTTCTTTTATATATATAAAAAAGGGTATTTACTGCAACATGGAATGTCGCCGGAAAATCTCCGCCGAGTAATTTAAATGTGGAGGATTGGCTTCACACTTCTCCTCCTTCCGACATTTACGTTCTTGGGTACCCTCCTGGCCTCCTACTCTACACTTCCTCCTCCTACCTATATATATATATATATATATCCACAACTCTCTCATTTAGTTTTTTTTGTTTTGCTTTAACAGCTTCCAAGAGATCGTTCCTTTGAACGCCGGCAACGTTTTAGGCACTGAGGACAACGCACCCGCCAAGAAATGGGTCTCTCTCATCAGAAGAACTTTGAACACTCTTCCCGTTGGTGCTTGCCGGACTCCTTCTCCTGTTCCCCACCCCGTCGCCGAGCTCGACTCTGACTTCGAAGGCGAGTCTGCCGACGCCGATAACTTCTCGCTCTACCATCGGAGCAGGAGCCTCAGGATGGACTTCTCTGCATCATCCCTGCCCCCTCAGCTCGACCGCAGATTCAGCGTCTGTGACCGTTTCATGCCAGACGACTTCTACGACCAGAGCTTCAGGTCTTGCTCCGACGACGACGATCCTGATTCTCCTCGTCATTATCAGTATTCCCCTGTCTCGAGGACTGGATCTTTTGTGGCAGACGACAGAGACAAGGGAAGAGACAAGTCTAAGTATTGTTTAGTTGCCAGTAAGCAGATGGTTGGGATATTTTTAACCGTCTGGGTCAAGAGTGATCTAAGGGACAGTGTCAAGAACCTCAAAGTGTCTTGTGTTGGCAGAGGCTTGATGGGTTATCTTGGAAACAAGGTATATTCCAGATTCCTTTGTTTTCCTAAATCTTTCTCAGCTTCTCAAAGTAACTTTGGCTCTTTTCAATCTCTAGGGCTCGATATCGATAAGCATGTCCGTTCACCAGACGAGCTTCTGCTTTGTCTGCAGCCACTTGACATCTGGTCAGAAAGGAGGCGACGAGCTGAGAAGAAACTCTGATGTTTTGGAGATTCTAAGGAAAACCAGATTCCCTAGAGTGAACAACGCAGGCGACGACAAGTCTCCCCAGACGATTTTAGAACACGAGTGAGTCATCTGTTGTATCAATGCGCTTCACTTCAAGAATCTTGATATATATTCTTGCAATCAACTCAACAAAATCTTGTTTGTTATGTTATTCAGTCGGGTGATATGGCTTGGAGACTTGAACTACCGTATAGCTCTATCTTACCGGTCTGCAAAAGCCCTTGTCGAGATGAGAAATTGGAGTGCCTTGCTTGAGAAAGACCAGGTAGGTAGTTTACACCTTTCAAACTTGTGTTCGATATGTTTATCTAAGTGTCACATTGATATGGTTGTTGTTGTTACAGCTACGGATAGAACAAAGAAAAGGATGTGTCTTTGAAGGATGGAATGAAGGGACTATCTATTTTCCACCCACTTACAAATACTCTAACAATTCAGATATATACGCCGGGGATGATCGGCTTCCAAAGGCCAAGAGACGGACTCCAGCATGGTTAGTACTTGTTTCTCTAGCTAGTCCGCAGCATTGACTGATTGAGTCTTATTAAATTGATACTGAGTTGGGTTATATTTATTCGAAGGTGCGATCGCATACTCTGGTACGGGAGTGGTCTTCATCAGCTATCATATGTACGAGGGGAGTCAAGATTCTCTGATCACAGACCAGTCTACAGTTTGTTCTCTGTAGAGATTGAATCAGTATATAGAAACCGTATCAAGAAAAGCTCCAGTTACACCAGCTCGAGGATCGAAGTTGAGGAACTTCTTCCTCAGCGGTATGGATATTCTGAGTTTAACCTGTACTGATTCATCGTCTGGTCTAAGGAGGAGAACTCCATGTTCCTAAAGCCTGAACAAAAAAAAGAGAGAAAAGAAATTTGGTAAAATAAGTCATGGATGATCAAATGATTATTTTAATTGGACTGGGGCTGTTACTGTTGTATTCTGATAATGCGGGATTTCGCAGGGGTAGGAGATTTTGTGGACTTTTGACATGGAAGAGTCTTGGAAAAGGCAGATCTTGGTCAACATCTCTGTTTCTCGGTTAAAACAGGGGAAGATTCGAGTGAAGAACACAAGAGAGAGTAACAAGGTATAGATAGAGGAGCGCTTCAGCAGCAGATCAAAATTGTATAATATCTTTAGGATTATAGAGAAATTGACCAGTTATTAGCTTCTTCTTCTCAGACCATTAGTTTTCCCCATAGACTAGCTCTCTGTAGGATTCGTCACACTTGTGCATAATTATATGTGTATGATTGTAAATGTAATGAATTTTTTGTAAGAACCAATGGGTTTTTAAGATTGGAAAAGTGCAGAGTTTAAAAAGCTTTTTTATTTACAGTTTCCTGTCCGAAAGAGTGTTTTTTTCCCCCATACGTACACACATATAGCTATAACATTTTAAGCAGAACACAAATACCAAAATGTAAAAGTAAATCGAATTAAAAGTGAGAGAATTCAAAAAAAAAAAGAGAGGGTCAAACTCATATAGTATTCTCTTCTTTTGCACTTGTCAAGAGAAGAGTATCAGTAACCAAAGAAATAAATATATACTTTCAATCAAGAATTCCAAGACCTAAGTAAGAAACGAATTCAACAAAAAAAGTAAAAGAAAATGTTTAAAACATCATATGTTAAGAGTTGGTGGGTGATAAATAAGAACTATTGCTGTTTGGGAGTTTTCACATCAAGAATTTTTCTCTTCTAATAAGTTTACAAAAAATGGGGAAAGAAAAAGACAAAATAATGATGGGTAATGGTTTGCAAGACTCTTAAACCCCAAAATGGGTATCTTGCAACAGTGTTTTGTATCTAATTTTGGGGTTTAAGAGTATTGCAATAATGTTGGTCTTAGTATATTAATATGAATTTCCGTGCATTCCAAATGTCCTTTTTAGTTATAGAAGTAAAAAAGAGAGTGAAGTAAACGTACCTATATGATTGGAGAGCACTCTTCTTATTACACTCAGTAAATACGACAAGGATCAACAAGAGAGATTTCTTTTTTTTTTTTTTTTATATATATATATCTCGGATTGCCTTTAACCCTACAACAATATTCGCCACGTCGGAAAACTTTATTTTACTAAATTTTGTATCCAGAGATTGTCTCCTCCCCTCCCCACACGACACACCCCCGGCCCTTAGCTTGATCGGTTCAGTTTTCTCTATGCTACTCACTTAGCTTGAATTCACACATTTTTATATATACACTGATAGATACCGACGGCTCGTCGATATCATCAATAACTGTCTCATACTACTACTCTTTGGAATTGGAATTACTAAAGTAGTAATTAAAGGGTATCTCTATATATTAGTATCTAACCAGAAAACATATCCTCCGACGGTAGATAGATATTTTTGGTCGGAGTTTATTAGAGAGGTTTCGACGCAACGCATATGCCTCTCACTTTCACTGCCCATCCATCCTCCTCTCTTTTTTTTTAATTTATTTCCTTTTTCTCTTCTTACAATTTTCTTTTGTTACTTGTTAAGATTTATTTGTAGTGGAATACAGAAGAACTACGTCACATACGAATATTTTTATACTATATCATGATTTCGTGTTGCTTCTATTGTTTCTTATGGATCTACTCATCTACATTATACATACATATATAATATATATATATATATTAGAAAAAAGCTTCTTTGCAAATTGATTATGATAAGAAGATCCTATTTACTAGATCACATCCACATGCTATGTCGTAACATTACTCGACCCAAATCATTCCTTTTTCCCACTTGGATCTACTCACTTCCACTTTCTTTAAACATCATACATATCTATAGACTCCAATATTCACATCGATCCATTCGACTACAACTAAATGATTACTATATATACAGATGGATTTGGAAGATATTAACTAATACACTGATAATCGATACATATGATAACAACATGTATTTAGGAAGACAGGACACATTTACTAATAATAATACAGAGAACATAATTTTATTTATTTCTATGTACAATGTAGGACTCTAGGCTTGTAGGTAAGTTTCGTAATACTAGCAATTTAGAAAATAATAGTTATTTCCATGTCATGATCACTCGAAGCTTCTCATAATTGATTATATATAATTACGTGTATAAGGTTGTCTTAACTTAATTATATATTGAAACGAATAATTGTTTGTTTTTTAGATTATATGCATCTTTCATTCGGCATGATTGTTAGTCAGTTGATCACAATTTATAGCATTATAGTGTGTGATTTGGATCCTTGGACGCTTGCAGTCATGACTAGCAAGCTTGCAGTACATCTTTCGACTTGTTTTATTTGGCTGGAGAAATCCATCCGCTTTGAGAATTTTATGTTTCCTTGTTTTTTATTTAATTTTTGCCAAGGAATCATTCTAAGGTTTAACGCTGTAAAACCAGCCACTTTCATTTTATATGATATTTACAAATTTAGAAGAAAAACAAAATATGGGCGGTAGGTAATATTGGCGATAAAGAAATTGTATTTATTATAAACTATATAATTAAGACGGTGGGTGTGTGCTGATTAATGGAAACTAAAAAGTAATGATGCATGTAGCTACAAATTTGAGTGGTTGGCAGCACAACAATGTTATCTTCATGCCTTAAAAAGAAAAAAACGTAAAGTATTGTGTAATGTAGAAAATTAAAGCTGTTTTTCTTATCTAAAGAGACGATTGTAAGATTAGCGCAAGAAAAGTTTGCAAACATAGTGAAAAGAAATAATAGTCAAGTCTTATAGTATATAATAAGGTGAAGCAATTAAAGAAATATACAAAGATAGAAATTAAGATGTGAAAAAACAAAACAAAAAATTGAGTGGTTAAATTTTTTTTGAATAAATAGAGTGGTTAAAGTAATATATGAGAATTAAAAGCGTTGCGTAGGACGAAGTGGAAGAGAAGTTAAGAAGTGTCCGTTGCACGTGGAGATGAAGCTCAACGTCAGCAGCGTCTGCAAGAGAAGTTTTGACGTCAGGGGATATAGAACTTGCATGTAAACTGAATGGGGAGTAGTCGAGAACAAGTAAGATGCGACGTGTCTTTTACTGCATATGTATTTTGTGTGAGACAGTCAAAACGATAAAAACGTATTTATCATTTTATTTATATAGCAGACTTTTGAAATGGGGAATACTGGTGGAGGCGAGTCGTGTGTCATGGAGAGATTCGGCCCAACCCTTTTTTGGGTCAAAAGATTCATAAAACATTATTACAGGCACAGTTAATAAGAGTTTGCCATAATAAGAGTAAGAGAGATGATCAAGTTGACGTCACCTTCTTCTCTTATCATTATTATTTGCCTCGACGTTTAATTTGCTTCTTCTATGTTCCCAAGTTTCATTTGTCAGCGCCTAGTAATTTATATATCTACGTCAGATGAGGTCATTTGCCTATTATTATTATTATTATTATTATTATTAAGGGAGCACGTAGTAAATATAACTGAACTGCACCCACACGAGGCCTAACAAAATGATGCATAGGGTCAAACACTTCCTTTTTGTTTTGTTTTCTCTCGATTGGTCTTTTTTTTTGGACGGACACTAATAAATAATTAAAGGTAAAAAAAGGTTGTTATTATTGGCTTGCGTCATAGCTCCAAATAACGGGAAATAACAAATTCGCATTCTAAACTCAATACGGCCACAAAAATGTTAATTACGGTACGAGCTTTTAATTTGTTTACTGCAAAAACGAAAAGCTGTATCATGAATACCGTAATCCCCAAGATTCTCAGTGCTTAGGCTTTTCGAGGGTGAAAGCGTTTGGAATTGATGGGGCCTCACTGTAAGAAGACTATAGGCCCACCCAACAGTGCCTCTTATGACCCATGTTTGTATCTACGGACTTGGGATCCAGTACAAGGCCCATTCATAGTCGTTCATTTTATAAACCTCTTTAGACTACCTCCAATGGTAAGCACCCATGATGGGTGTTTACCAATATTTTTATAAAAAATTGTGACAACTTGTAGTTTAAAGTGCTTATGATTTGCTTAAAACCTCAATTTAAGCAACAATGCTTAAGATTTTTAGATTGTTTTTGATTATATTCATTATATATAAAAATAAACAACCCATTAAACATTCATTAAACACCTCCATTGGAGATGCTCTTACTCGTACAGTCATAAAAGAGAACAAAGAATGCGACTCCACCATAATATAAATAAAGCCGCGCACTCACGAGAGGGCCAAGAGTCTAAACACCAAAGATAAACCTTAATTTGTGATTAATAAAAAGAAATCAGAGGCTGTCATGCATGCACGGCTGAAATTAAAATATCACCTAGCTAATTGAAGGAAACACCCTTGTATTGTACATCATCAGATCACCATGATCAGTTGGTTTTGTTTGTTTAAAACACTTATAAAAAGATGCTAAAATCAATAAAAAAAAGAAAAGAAAAAAGTTGATCGACAGATGTAATAGTAATGCCGATAGCAACTAGCTAGGAGAGTGAGAGGCAAGCCGCCAATTAATTCCCCCCTGAAAAAAAAAAACACACGAGAGAATGGGGCTGCACTCAACATCCAATCCATCTACACTACTGAACCACACATTCGTCAATGACTTCATATAAAAAAGCGTGATGACGACGATATTGCTGTGTCCAAGGCTATATCATCTTTGGAGGTTCTTCCCTTCTTAGGGTTAGCTTTCCGTCGAGGCAATTCCAAATAGATGTCGCATGCCATCTGTTTTGCTCTGCATTCTTTAGAACAGAATGCCCCCAAGTAGCTGCGTTAGAACGAACGAATTAATCGACCATGTCAAGAATATGACTACACAAGAATTAATGCATATGACAACATGATCACAACTGAACTAGTAGTAAATCAAGAATGTGATCACAACTGAACTAGTAGTAAATCAAGAATGTGATCACAACTCTCAGATACTAGAATGAGTAAAAGTGTAAAACCAAATCTTGGCGGTGATACGACCAAAAAAAAATGTGCGACCAGAGAGACACGTACAGATAAGATAAATATATATATATAATTTCCGAAAGAGGAGAAGAGAAATAACAAGTACTGACCCGTACATGAAAACGTCCTCGTTGTGACGGAGGCTCTTCTTGCAGAAACGACAAAGGTCAAGAAAGTTTCCGACCCGAACCAGATCATGGCTGACCATGATCTGTACATTCTGATTAGGGAACCAATCCGAAACGGCGGCGGCGGAGGGGTGGATCTCAGGATGCTTGTCGGAGAAGCTAGGGGCTCGGGGTCTCTTGCTCGGAACCATAAGATCTGTCATAGCTTTCCCCTGATTTGATGGGATTTGGGTGTAATTCCGACTGCAAAAGATTAGGGTTTTGGTATATAGAGAGAGAGACTCAGACTCGATATTATTCATTTATGTGTATATATAATAAGCAGCATTGCGTGGACCAATCAGAATTTAAAGAACAAAAGCGTCATCAAATTAATTGGTTATGATCCTCTGCGCCAAGGTGTAAAAGAGTACACACGTGGGTGGTGTTCTCTTTTCATTTTTTTTTTTTTTAATACTACTGTTGAAGATGATTTTCTTACTCCTTATCATTTTTTTATACTAATGAGCTTTTTGTAATAGGCCTGTTATAGTAAGGTTATTAATAGGCCAATTGATTGGGCTATATCAATATGTGGCGTGGGGGTGTTACATGCTTGCACATATAATTTCAGTGTTGGGCTTAAACAATCAACAAGAGCTACATATACATATGTGGGTTGGAACATGGAAATCTCTAGCTGTCATTTTAACAGAAGAGAAAAAACAGCGGTATTCATTTTTCAAGCTCTAATATCTTGTATTTTTTCGTAATAACAAGTGTGTGTGGTAATGATTGGGATTAGGACATGGTTGACAAAGAAGCAATGATAATAAGAAAATGGACCTCGCTCAAAATTTGCATTCTTTCTTTGCGTCCAAAAGTATCACTCTTGCAAAGATTAGAATTCAAGTCTCTATCAGATATATCATCAATCTCCGCCAATTTTCAAACCATTATCGGAAATCATTTAACATCATCATCTTCATACCAACAACAACAACAAGACACAAGTAATCGTTGTTTATTGTAGTTAGCTTCTTCTTTTATCGCACTCTAGCAAAAACAATTGCTAAACGAAACGTATACATATTTTTAAGAAAGAAAAAAAAAAACCCAACGAATGAAGAAGACAAATAGCCTTCAGCAGTCTAGGCTAACGAAGAGTAAACCCCGGAATTTTTATCTTAGTGCGATATGACCTTTTACATCCTTAATAAATCACATATTCCACTTGGTCACGTAATTAATAAATAACCATGATTAAAAAGAAGATGGGTGAGTCCTCAAAGAAATCATGAAGTTGAAAGCAAATATATATATATATTTTTTAAATTAGGTATTATCGAATCAAATGGATGATTAGTGCTAATAATTCCAACCCCGATGTATATATACATCCACGTCAGGTGATATAGAATTAAAAAATCAAGATTAAAAGAGTAGAGTCACGTCGTCTATGGATAGGTTGGACGTGAAACACTTGAGCAATATATATAGTACATATGTGATATGTTATAGAGTTTACGTAGGGTGGTGATTAATTAAGGAGTCAAAAAGAAGTGGTTACAAAAACGAAGTATGCGGATTCGATGGACAGTACTCAATCTTAAATTCAATGGCCGCATATAGTATATGGATGACTACTGAGTAGTCAGTCACTATATGTTTCTTCTTGTTTGTAAGCAAAACTATAATATAATAATCAGATCGTTAATACTGCGTACATAGAATTAGAACAAAAGCATATGCATATACAATATAGATATGATAAAATGGGAGGCCAACTGAGGCAAGTAAGTAAGTGGAAGATGTTGAAGCCATGAAAACAAACAAAATAAATGTGGCCTGGCCTGTCATGTCGTAAACAATATATATATATATATATATATATGAAGACGTATTAACAGGATAGTTGATCGTGGTGAAACCGGAGTAGCTAGTAGCTACGGACTATATGATCCACACACACACATACACTCGTGTCTTTTTCAGTACCTATTTTTTGTATCAATTACTCATTATAACATCCTTTTATCTAGAGGTAGGCGTACGAGTATCCCTCCATCTCTAGTCTTATGCAATTGCGTGGCCGATTGATTATATTTTATATACTCTTTGCTAATTAAAAAAGTACTTCTTTTACTATATTTTCTTAAATAAACACACAAAAACCGAAATGATTTGTTATGAAAAGGAAAAAATTTTAATTAATAAGAAGTTGACTGAGCTTTCTAAAAACCACCAAAAATAAAATAAAAATGCGATAGTTAGATGGGATTCGAGAAAAAATAAGATCAACCAACAATAAAATTAGTTGCATCTTCCTTCCTAATTACATGTTTATATTATATTAGCTTTTTTGTTTTGGGGGAGGGGGGGGGGAGGGGTTTAATTAATTAGTAGAGCGGAGCAAGTGGTGGAGTCCTAATTGTATAGTATATACTTTTATATAATTATTAGCTTCTTCTTTCATGACTTACCAAAAAAACGTTCATTCACTCAATCAAACCGTTCGTTTAGTGGATAATCACACGTGGCACTTACGTGGATATTTATGATTGGATTACGCAAAGCAGGTGCAATCGTGGGTCCCTCCCTGTTTCTCTTTTGTTAATTTTTTAATTATCCATGCAAAAACCGATTTTTTAAATTCCATTATAATTCATTAATAATAACATTAGATTTATTTATATAGCATGTATGGACGTATCCTATACATTAGCGTTTAAATAATCATACAAGTAATCCAAATAAATAAAAGTGTATTATGATTAGAGAAAGACAAACGAAATAATGACCAAAATGCCGTATTTAATAATGACTACTATTTGTAAGAAAGAAATTATTCAGAATAAAATAAGGAGAAAATTATAAAAAATAAAATAAAACACTGTGTTTACAGAGAGGCCCAAACATCAATGCACTAATAATGTAAGTCTACCCAAATAAACAAATAAAAGTATTGTAGATGCAAACAAACAAACAAAAAAGGTACAACGGAAAATACAAATTTGTTTTTTCTTTTTGCTATATGTTTTTCAATCTTTTTTTTTTATAAAGATACATATATTATTTTAACACAAAATGTTGTTAATCTGCGACGATAATAAGATCTACGTTATAAAAAAAGTATGCGAAAACAATATGAATGAAGGGATGACTTTAGATTAAGATAAATGTGTAAATATTGTAATAATAATTGTAAGGGAAAAAGTGTTAAATCCATAACGTCCTTTCTCTCTCTCTCTCTTCTCTGTCTTCATTCTTTGGAATAAAGAAAAGAAAAAAGTGATAATAAGAAAGAAAGCAACTTTTAATCTGATTTTTGTGTGAGAGAGAGAGAGAGAAGAGAGAGAGATCATCATTTCATATTTCATACTATTTCATAGGAGTGAGCAGAGGAGACCCCATATGAGCAGAGCAGAAAACAAACAGTCAGAAATTTTCAATTATTGTACCTCTCTCTCTCTCTTAGTCTCTTAGATATTATTTATTTTTGGTCTGAAGTCTGAACCTGATGATCTTTTGTTACATGATTCACTGAAATCCTCCTCATTTGCTTTCATCCTCTCTCTCCATGGAAGCTACTGAGTTATGATCATTTCCCTTACCGCATCTGACGACGACGTGTCTTTATAACTATGCTTAATTAGAGACAAACCTAGACTCTGCTTTCTCTAGCTAATGGCTGATCATCATCATCATCCCCCACCACCTTCTTCTAGGAGCCACTGCGCACCATCTCTCTTCAGCTCTCCAACTAATAAGTTTAGGTTTTTCACTTCAAAGCTTACTCCTCCTTTCGACTCTGATTTCTCTCTCCTCAGCCCGACCTCCATCCTCGAAGCTGACTCCTCTCTCTTCTCCTCCAGAAACACTCATTCCTCTTTCGAGCCCACCGCCCCTTTTCCCCAAAGGTTTCACCCTCCCGACACCTTTGGCCTCGCCGATCTCGTTAAACACCGAGACACTAACACCAACAAACCTGTCAACAAGTTCGGCTCTAAACTCAGAGTCCACATCCCTTCAGCTGTTTTTGGCACTAATACCGCCATCAGGTATCCTCCCCATGGACAGGGACAACTCAGTCCTTGCGTCCAGACCAAGGTCCTATCCGTGAGCGATGTTGACCAGACGGAGGACTACACGCGCGTCATCTCTTACGGTCCAAACCCAACCATCACTCATATCTTCGACAACTCTGTTTTCGTGGAGGCTACTCATTGCTCTGCTCCTTTACCACCCCTAGCCTTCCGTACCGAGAGTTTTCTAAGCTATTGCCACACCTGCAAGAAGAGTCTTGACCACAAACAAGACATCTATATATACAGGTCTGTCCACAATTTATTTATATAAACCAGCATCGAGCTCCAAAACTAAAACTTAAATTGCAATGGTTGTGGTTTCAGAGGGGAGAAAGGGTTTTGCAGCAGCGAGTGTAGGTACCAGGAGATGCTTCTTGATCAAATGGAGACCTAGCACCCCACTCACTCTCCATCTCTTCTCTTTTCTTGATTTTCTCACAGCACATCTCTACTACTTAGTTCTCTGTTTCTGCATCCTCTTCTTCTCCTTTTGTTTTGTTTTGTGTGTATTTCTTCTAGTCATAACCTCTCTCGCCTGCAGATAGATATATGAAAGATAGAGAGAGGGACAGAGTTTCTGATAACTTTTTTGTTTTTTGTCTGTGTGTACTGTCAACATGATGAGAGTGAGTGACTTGGAGAACTGCTGGATATTATCATAAATCTACATAAAATACTGCTATCTGAAATCAAAACTCAAAAGCAGCATCAATCTATACAATAACTGGCTTCCTTTTGAAGATGTGCAAGTGGCTTTCCACACTCGTTGTGGCTCTATGCGTCTGTAAGAGGCAGAGGGTTTAATCAACCGGACCGGAAAGTGAAAACTAAATATATCATTTTTTAACTCAAAACTCTTTTTATTTTCTTTTCCTTTGATTCATCGAGAAAGGTCTCAACTATTTCTAGGAAGCGAATTGAACGAACTCTTGTTTCCATCATCCTGTGAAATGTTTTTCTTCATAATAAATAGTCTAGTATGGTTTGGTTTAGTTTATAGGGTATAAATTCTAAGCTGCATGGAATCGCCGATGAAGCCACGATTCTCGCTCCCGAAGCAGAAGCGGGTTCGGAATCGCTTGGAAGCGTTCGGAATCGTCTCGGAATCGCGTTTCCTGAAATGCGGTGTTTGGAAGCTTCTTGGAACCGTGCGATTCAGGAATGGGAGCGTGATGGTGAAGATCGGAAACGTGATGGTGAAGATCGGAAGCATCAACGCTGGTTCTTCTCTTTTCTCTAAACACTAAAAAAAAAAACAATATTGTTGGGCTTGTTTTGGCCCACTTGTTAAATTCTGTATTTTTTACTTTCAATGTTTTAGTTTAAAATTACTCTATATGATTCAAATAAATTATTGATATAATTTTCTTTTTTAAGTACATGTAAATATGTGACTATATTATCTTGCAAAGCTACAGGTGATAGGTGATGTTATTATATGGTTGTTCTTTGATATTATGCTTAAACTGTTCCTCATATGGCCATATCGTTATAATTTTTAGTTTAAGATCTAATATTCCATAAATATGTTCTTCTAGTGTAGATGATGGATAAAGAGGTTTTGTGGATTTATTTCAAATTATGTATAGTATTTTTGAAGCATTTTGTTATATAAAACATTTTATTTTTATATAAATATATATATATATATATATTTTTATATATAACGCTTCCAACACGTACCCGCTTCCTAACTATTTTAGAAAAACTCGCTTCTACGCTTCTAAGCGCTTCCGCTTCCGCGTACCCGCTTCCGATTCCATGCAGCTTAGGGTATAATATATTTCCTCCGTAAACAAACCAAACCAGACGTGTTAGTGGTTTAAACACCATAGTAGGTTTAAACACCATAGTAGGCTTTTTTTATCATCCATTATTAGTTCAGCCCTAAGATTACAGGCCTAATATGGGCCGTTAGTCGCAGGTAGATGAGGTTAGAGAGACCATATAAAATCAGAGGATGGATTTTGGCTTATCCAGACCACGGTGGGGCGTGGGGAAGGGGGTACAATCAAAAATTAAAAATATTGAGGAGCCCTGGTAACTTTTTAGAATAGGCTCGAAGATGTTAGTATTGGAGCAGGTAGAAGAAGCCCAATTTCAAGGATCCAGTTCAGTTTTTATTTTCAGAAAAACAAAAGGAACACTGGCAAGAGATTATAGATGTGCATAAGTGAGAAAAGGTGAAATGAGAGCACTGGCAAGTTTGAGGATATAACAGTTAGTTATATTTCCAAATATGAATATTCTTTGTTGAGAAACGAGTGAATAAAATGAACAGATGAGGAAACGAAGCAGTCATAACTAAGGGACTGTATGTACAATCCCTATTAGGGGCTCCCGTGACAGCATTTGTACCATCAACCCTCTTTTCATTTTTGTTGAGTTAAAGAATACTTATATAACTATGGATCTTTCTTCTCTTTTTATTTGTCGAAAAGAAAAAAAGATTTGAACAAATGAAAGAAAAAGAAAAAAAAAGAACTGATCTTTCAATAGAAAGATGGGCCGAATGGGTGGGGAGGTTTCCGCCAGAGAGATTCGTCCGTATTATGTTCATTGTCGTCGCTACACGACAAATACTAATTTTTCCTTTTTTTTGGAGTTTAACAAACAGTAACTCACAAGTTGCCTTAAAAAAAATAAATAAACAAACATTGAAACAGATGCAAAGAAAAATAAAATAATAATTGAAGAAGATAAGAAGATCTTGGAGCAAGATCCGTCGTCATATGTACTCTAATAAAAAAATGTACAGCTGCTGCTGCTGGTGGCTGGAACGACTTGTTTCATTTTCTCTCTTGCTTACAAAAATAGAGAAAAAAACTAAAACTCACTCACACACTTACTACAACTCTCTACGGGATTATTACTAAAAAGCAAACATAACTGAGAGACAAAAGTACAATTATCCCACACGTGTGCGGTCAGGTCCTTTCTCTATTATGCACACATGACGCTGCTGCCTTCTTCCCCTCCTCGTATATATATATATTGCTTTTTTTTTTTTTTTTGTCAACTACCTTTATATATATATATTTTGCACTCTTCTCTTTTAATTTTTGATTTTATAATTTTCTTACGTATACAAATGTACTATATAAAAATATACCAAAAGTATTAGCTACGTTGGGTACTCAGCTCTAAAAGACTATAAATTTGATTTTATTAGTGATATTAAAACCCAAAAATAAAAATACGCTCTCGTTCAACTAAAAAAGTGGTTCGACTAATAATATTTTTATGGACGTTCTCTCATTATTATTGTGTATGTATGTGTTCTCGGATTATTGGATCCATCATCAAACATTCGACTTTTTTTTATTATAGATTTATAGTTGTTGGCTTGTTGACTCGTATATCTTTTTTTGCCCACCACCGTATAGTTTTTTTTATTAATTTATTACATCCACATACATCCGCCTTACAAATAACTCATAATGGTAACGGATAATTTAAATATCAATTAGATTTTATCTTAAAACTATCGAATACACATAATTTTCTTTCCTTGTCCCACTTGAGTACTTGTGCTTTTGTTTTTATTCGTAATTGTTTTTTGTATATTAATTTAAGGAAAACCGCATTATGCATCAGCATTAAAAAAAAAAAAAATCGCATTTTGCATCAGCATTATTTATTTATTTTTTGCTAAAAGAGTAAATATCATTTATGAAAGTTAGGAATTGCATGAAAGTAAAACCTAGGGAACTTGGACCTTGTCAAAAAAGAGAAAAAAATCAAGGCATAATAAAAACAGAACATGACAGGAAACAAAAAGATCCTTCAATGGAGCCATAGCAGCGAGGAGGACACACATCAAGGCATCAGCATATATACAGGATCGGGTTTTTTTCTTCTTCTTCTTTCATATTTGGGGTTCTGAACTCTGAAGCATCCTCTCATAACCGGCTTTGCTTGATGTCTGTTTTTTGCTTATATCTAAACATATCACAAGCTAATCATTGATGTTCTTTGTAAATATAAAACATAATCTGATCAGAAACAGGAATTTCTGGGGTTTAAACCCAGCAAACTCTGGCAGTTGGATATGGAAGAAGCTGTGTAAACTGCGACCTTTGGCCAGACCCTATCTAGTGTGTCAAGTTGGTTCTGGTATCACAGCGAGCTTCTGGCATGATAACTGGACGGGCCTCGGTCCTCTCATTGAGCTAACTGGCCCTCTTGGTCCTCAAACTTCTGGCCTTCCTATTATGGCGGTGGTGCGAGACGCTATAAGAGGACAGTCATGGTGGATGTCCAGGAGCAGATCGAGGAACACTATCCTCACTATGTTAAAGGCAGCCTTGCCTAATCCAGAGAACTTGATTGATTGTACGCATGATGATTCCTACTCTTGGAAACTGGATAATCATGCTCCCTCAAACGTCTTCTCTGCTGCTAATACTTGGCTATCCTTACATCCTCATGGTCCTCATGTCTCTTGGCATAAAATGGTGTGGTTCAAAGACAGGATTCCAAAGCATGCTTTCATTAGCTGGGTGGTGGCTTGGAACCGTCTTCACACTAGGGACAGATTAACCAGTTGGGGAATGCTCATTTCGCCCCTTTGTCCTCTTTGCAACACTCAGAACGAATCAAGGGATCATCTCTTTTTCCGGTGCGACTACAGCGACTCAATTTGGTCATTCTTCACCACAAGAATCAGGTTATCTCCTCCTCCTGTTTTCATGGATTGTCTCCTCTGGCTTCACAACGCCTCTCGGAACAAGAACATTTCCTACATCACCAAGTTGATCTTTCAAGCTTCCATCTACCTTATCTGGAAGGAAAGGAACTCTCGCATCCACACGGGGTTCTCAAAACCTTCAAGTATCATCATTAGGGAGATTCAAACGACGATTCGGGCACGCCTTGATCCTCTTTCAAGGTCTCAACGAGTTGTTCCTCCAGCTTTGTCCTTGCTGGAAACTTGGTTCTCTCTATTTTAGAGAAAAAAAAAAAAAAAAAAAAATAGAGATAAAAGAATAGCTCTCTTTTCCCTCTCTCGGTCCTCTTGTGGTTCCATTCCATCCTCTTGTGATGAAAGAATAGCTCCCTTTTTTCGGTCTCTTTCCTCTTCTTTCTCCCTCCTTTTCCTTTCTCGGGCCTGCGCGCCTTGGTTTTGGCCTTTGGGCCTTGTATAGCGGGGCCTGCGAGCCTTTGTGAGCCCTCGTGGCTGTGTAAGTTTTTTGGAACCAGCGTCCCTTTGGTCGTTTGGCGTGTAAGGTGTTTGCCTCTATTGAAGTTTTAAAGTTTAAAAAAAAAAAAAAAAAAAAAAAACATAATATGGGAACACTGTTGATATTATTTAAGAAAAAAAAAAAAAGTAAAAGTAAACGAGAATACTTTTATTCATCTTTGACGTTTTGAATCATCTATCTATATCGCCGCCAAAATTATTCGTTATGTTCTACAGTTTTTTTTTGAAACTTTAATAAATAAATAAAAAGACATTTGTAGTTGGATTCTGCACACACTCGTTTAAAAAAAATGTATAAACGTCAAGATGGCGAGAACGACAATATAGCTTACTGAATAAAATAGAACCCACGTAGTTTAGTTAGTTGTACGTGAAATTGTATTCAAACTGTAAAACAAGATACCCAAATATAATCTGTAAAATTATAATCATTAAGAAGAGTTCAACACTTTTTTTTATATCTTGGATTAAAGTTCAGTTAATATAAAACATTTGCCTAACACCAATTTTTCATTTGTATATACAAATATAATAGAGATGAAAATTTGGACTGAATCGCATTAGTAATTGTATAGTTTATTAAACTGTGTAATATTTGAAAATAATGATACTAGTATATTAATTTCATCACATAGTTGTGGTATTAAATACAAAAAGAATGCGACATTTGCATTTAACGGGCTGCGTGCTTGGACTCATTGATGAGTAACCTAATCATAAACATAAAATATAAGCTTATCTTATCAATCACTTTTAAATTGCCCAAAAAACAAAAAAGCTTTGCATTCACATTTTTTAAGCATTAATCTTTTAGAGTTTTATAATATATGAATTCTTTTAAATGTTAATTCTGATTGTTATATGTTATCTTAAAAAATCGTCCTGCACTTAAATATCATTTTGACCACTTTGTAAAGAAAGAAAAAGAATTTTAGAAAAGATATGAATTGCGGTCTACTTTTTTTTAGGTTTTAAATTTCGCATAATTTAGACACACAACACAAAATTATAATACTGAATAAATGAAATATATATCTTGAGAAATGATTCTGAATAAATAAAATATATAATTTGTCTCTTAAATTTTTCTCTTCTTATTATTACTCTGTCGATTTAAAAAAAAAAATATAATTGCGAAAAAATATTCAATTATCCAACCTATCACATTCAATTACTTTAGCCGTACCATAGAACTCCAATAAAATCGACAATGTCATAAGTATAAATCCCACTCCCTCCTCCGCCCCTCTATGATGGAATAAAACCACCGCCTATAAATATATATTGTATATAGCAGAGACGACGACGATACTATACGTTTCGTAAAAGAGATTTTTACCAACAAAATATTTCTTAAAAGAGTTGGCGGTAATGGAGCAAAACATATACTCCTATATACTATTCCATAGTATATAGTATAAACGAAGGGTCCATTTCATTAATATTTGGTGACATTGAGATTAATTAATAAACTAATAAAAGTTGAAATAATTACGTGGTCATCATCAGAGAATGAACAGGTCTCCCACCAACTTCTTAATTATATATTTATTCATATATTATTATTTGTTTTATTTATGGGGTGCATTTTATTTTGCATGTCCAAACCGACAAAGATATTAAGCTTTAAAGATTAGTAAGCACTATAACTAAAGTTTTAACTAATATAAAAATTATGCTCTAATGGGTTTATGATGTTGCTGTGCCTTCAATCGTGGCTCTACCACCCACTAAGATCTTTTAACTACCGCCTAATTAGCCATTCTCGTTTCCAAAAAAAAACTAATGAATCTTATCTGATCGGACACTTAACAAAATCGAATTAGGTGGGTAAGGATAATTTTGATTTATACTAATACTAATTTAAATAAACGGGATGGGTAAGACGTGAGTTTATACACTATAGTAGATTATTAAAGATTAATGATTGTTCTCCTTTGGTGACACTCTAGCATATTATTAATTGACATATATACTATTATATTTTGAATTTCGACTAGAAACAAAAGAATACAAAAGAAAAAAGTCTACCAAAGAAATAAAGAGATAATCTTTCATCACCTATTTTAAAATCATTTTATGTAACTTAAGTTTTCATTTTTCACGACGCAAGATTGATCGCCTCCTAACTACTACCGTTCAAGTCTCTCTAATTACATCTTAGTTGTAAATCTACTGAGAAACAAGCTGACAAAATTATGCAATATAAGATTGGATCTACAAACAAAAAAAAAGATTGAATCTCAACACAAATAATATAGATATATCAAACAAATTTACTCGTACGTCGAAAGATTTACAAAATATATAAAGACACATAAAACAATGATAACTTAAGGAAACATCGTACAAAGTGATATACATTGTTTTTTTTTTGTTTTGCATATGGTGCTTTATGAAAGAAGAGACATGCCTCTCCATCATGTGATAAGTATATGAGAAGTATATGATTTGTGTGCCTTTGGCAAAGATAAACCGAAGGGATGTGACCCAAAAAAAAAAAAAAAAGATATATTGAGATCGAAGGATGGAACAAAATAATTATAATTTTAATAATTCTCGAAAATCTTATGGAGGGTAAAAAAACAATATATATATATATATATATATATATATTATTAGTTGTCAAATGAATATTACTTATAGACTTATAGTGTTGGCTTTTGTAGCATATTTTTTAAAGTAGTAAATTATTTGTCGCATCCTTGATAAATTCATTGCATCTGGCTTACGTATTTTTTAATTTTTTTTTTTTTTTGTCAATCATCTATGTATGTACAGATCCTTTAATCAAAATATCAAATACTTGACTAGTTCTTATAAAATGGTATAACGAATAAAAAAAATTTAATAAAACAATAGTTGAATCAACGACCGACAGAAGTTATAAAACTGCTTTGGCAAAACAAAACATTCTTAGAAATTGTGGTTAGAATTTACAGTAAATAGGAAATCATGAATATATTTATACATCAGTTAATTTCAAGTTTCGTCTTTAATTTTCGTTATAGTTATGATTACAGGATAATAATAATACATAGAAAGCAACAAAAAAAGAGGTGTGGAATGCAGTGAACATCAATAATTCCGTTGGACAAAGGGAAGCTTTCTTTCTTGTTGTTTTATGCTAAAAAAAAAAAAAAAAAATCGTAACTATCATATACTCTATTTTTTTTTTATGACAATCATAGACTCTATTTTCTTTTTGTTTTGTTTATTGTATTATAATTAAATCGAAAAGAGAAAGAAATTGAGAAATTGAAAGAGCAATAATTTAAGTTGGCAGCGTAGACGACAGACATCAAGTATTTATGCCCACCAGAATTGTCTGTCGAACAATTTCCGATATTTTTGTTGTTTTTTTGAAGGCAATTTCCTCCTCCTCCTCCTCCACCTCGGTGTTCTTATATGGGTTAGCGGTAGAGATTATTTAACAGTCACAAATACCTTATGCATTGCTGTCTAGTAAATTTGGTAGAATATATATATTTGACTAAGCTTATGTATAATGTTATGCATTAATCTAAATAATGGATTATACTAACAACAAATCAGTAGAATTAGTTTATAAAAAACAAAAAAAAAAGAAGGAAAAAATAGTAAAAAAAAAAGCAAAAAAGACATGCGAGAAGTGTTAAGACGATGGATGTTTGATATGCATTTATGTGGAGAAACAATTAAAAAACTAATATATGCAAATTGAGAAGAAAGAAACAAAGAAATGCATAAAATGTAGTACAAAGATAGATATCCAAAATAGAGATGAGAGAAGATAGATACACGTCGCCTTCTCTCTCTCTTTGTTTTTTATTTTCTTTTTGTTTAACCTGAAAATTAGCTGTGATTACCAAATATGTATGTATGTAGTTTTGAATTAAGAAAGTGAATAATATATATATTGTGGGGGGAGGGGACAAAGGTGTAATAGTAAAAGTTAGTTACAACGACGGTCCTGTTTGTTTGGGTTTATTGAAGAAAACAGTAAAAATATGGAAAAGGCCATCTTGAGAGTTGAGACTTCTCTCTTATCTTCTTTTATATACTAAAAATGTCCCCACTCTTCTTTACTACTACTACTACTACTACTACTATTTTGTGAATCACAACATTGTCGAGCTGTATCTTTAAATATATAAAATGTGTAAATGTTATTGCTTGAAAATGACAAGTTCTAGATTTGGAACACTCTGTGCTGGCCATCTAAGGAAAGAATATCTGTTTATTTTTTTACTTTCGTTTCTTCCCATCAAAATTCTTACTTTTTTGTTGTTGCTCCAAAGAAGAAGCTACTTAAAAGTATTATTAGTAGTAGTAGTAATACTCTCCTACTACTTACTAGTAATAAATTAAGTACACTTTGATTCATTTATGATTATTACTGAAAGTGAAAGTCATTAAAAGAAGATTAAAAAGAGGGATGCTAATTAATTTTTAATGAAGTCGAAGATTAAAAGAAAGAAAAAGGATGTGCATGGGTTTAAAAAAAAAACACTTAACCCTCGGGTTTGGTTACAAACATCACACGGAGGGAGGGAGGAGGAGAGTTATCTAAGTTTTGTTCATCTTTAAAATAAATACAAAACAAATTTTTAACGGCCGTCAGCGAGAGGGTTAACGGCCTTGCAAGGACTCGGCGGGAGACTAGACTTTCCGGAAGCAACAAGACGTTGCACGAAACCCTCGATTCTTTCTCCGTTACTCTCCGTTAGTAACCTTTTCACCCCAAACGGCGCCGTCTCGACACCTCTCTCTTTCAGCAGCTCCTCGCCTCCGCCGTTGGCCTGCATGCATCAACCATCTCGTTATTTATTTGTTATTATTATAAAAAACATATCCTAGGTCTTTTGTTATATTATGATGGAGACGTAACAGTACCTGGATCCTAACGTAATCCGTACGGTTCCAACAGAAGGCGTTCCCGAGCATCTGATCCACAGTATCGGAAACGCCGTCAAGCACGATGCCCACCACACACGACGTGGAACACTCTCCGCTGCCACGTAGTCTTCTCCCTGTCCCTGGATTCGAGGCCGACCCGTTTCCTAACGACAGCACCAGCAGGTCTTCCACGCCGTTCACCGACGGGAAATCCCCTTTGTTGTGCAGCACGTGCGTCACCGCTGCTCCTGTCGGGTTGTTCATCACCAGTCCCCCGTCCACTGCCGAGCATGTCGTTTTCCCGTCCACCGACACCACGTTGAACGGCTTGAACAGGCTCGGCGTCGCCGACGTTGCCCTGCACACTTTCCACAGCTCGAAGTCGAAGCTCCGTGACTCCGACGCTCCGGCGCGTGAGAATACGAAAGGAGCTGAGGTTTTGAGGTCGTAGCAAGGGACGAGGAGAGGCTTGCACGTGTCCCTCATCGTCAGAACCTTGCCGTCCTCCCTCCTGAAGGCCGCCTCCAAAACCTTCTCCATGCTCTTCCCCGAGAATCTCTTGCTCCTCCTGAAAACGCCGGTGTGCCTGGCATCGAAGAGCTCCGAGTTCTTGTCGGCGAGGAAGTTGACAGCGTCCCTGGCAGTGAAGAGGGGCCTGCCGGAGCCGTCGTCGGCGACAAGGAGGGCGGCGAGAATGCCACCAATGCCAGTACCGGCGACAATGTCGAAGAAATCGGAGATGTGAGCGTGAGGGTCGCGGGTCTGAAGGCGGATCTGGTGTTCGAGGTGAAGAATAGAAGCAGAGGCGACAAGGGCAGAGGTGCCGCCACCGTCGATGCTAAGGATGCGGGTCTTCCTGGGGGAGTCGCAGTGGGAGAGCCATTTCTGTTCAAGCTTTGTGAAAATGTCAAGAGTAACCTTGCTGAGATCCATCTCCATTTCCTTTTTTTTAATAATCTACGAAGAGAGAAAACAAAACAGAACAGAACAGAAGAGAAGAAGAAGAAGAAGAGAGGAGGGGGGGGGGGGGGAAAGAAAGAAAGAAACGTAAAGAGAATCACGCGTAGAAGCAGAGAGGCATTGAATTAGAAAGAAATGCAAATGCCCGCGCTCGCTCTCTCTCTCTGCCAGTGACTGATGGGATGAGTGAGTTAATATTCTACAGAGAGAGAGAGAGACAAGCAGAAAGAAGAGAAGAGACTGTTTGTTTACTCGTCTCTCTCCTCGACTGAGTGGATTTGAAGGAAATAGAGAGAGAGAGAGAGAGTAAAAGTGTGATTCAGAGATAATTCCGGAATTGTGAGTGGGTGGTTGTTACTTCTATATATATATATATATATA